CTCACACACATAATTGGACACACACACTTACACAATTAAAGCTCAGGCCGTGTGCCGTAAGACTTAGGGCTGAATTCAGTCAAACCTGCCATGGAAATGTTTCTGCCATGTCTTGCAGTATAAAATCACTGCCCTTCCACACTCCGAAAACCATAAGCAGTGACGTGTGAACAAAATCTACAGTTTTTTTCTTATTTTTACAGTAACGACAGATGTGCATGCTTATCCTCAGAGAACCTCAGCTTCATCCTCTGGCATTACATTAGATGATAACCATTTTATGATTTTTCTGACAACAGGAAAAACATATATACACTGAACAAAAATATAAACACAACATGTAAAGTGTTGGACCCATGTTTCATGAGTTGAAATAAAAGATCCCAGAAATGTTCCATACTGTCACGTCTCCTCCCGGGCGCTCTGAGCCACCGGTCTACGCGCACCACAACGCACCCTAATCACCTCCAGCGCACCTGCACCACATCATCTCATCACCACCCCTATATATCCCTGAACTGTTCAGTGTTGTGTGTGATTGTTAGTGTCTTTAAAAAAAACATTTTTTACATTTTTTGTCATTTAGCAGACACTCTTATCCAGAGTTAGTGAGTGCATACATTTATTTATTTTTTCATACTGGCCCCCCGTGGGAATCAAACCCACAACCCTGGCGTTGCAAACATCATGCTCTACCAACTGAGCTACACGGGACATATATCTTGCCGTGTACTCGCGCTTTGTTGTTCTCTTGCTCAGTGTTAAGTAAACCTTTACATTGTTGATTCCTGCGTCTGCGTCCTGCCTCTTCGTATCCTCAGTACTTGTCACACATACACACAAAAATCTTATTTCTCTCAAATGTGTTTACATCCCTGTTAGTGAGCATTTCTCCTTTACCAAGAGAATCCATCCCCCTGACAGGTGTGGCTTATCAAGAAGCTGATTAAACAGCATGATCAGGTATAGATACACAGGTGCATCTTGTGCTGGGGACAATAAAAGGCTACTCTAAAATGTGCAGTTTTGTCACACAACACAATGACAAAAGATGTTTCAAGTTTTCAGAGAGTGTGCAATTAGCATGCCGACTGCAGGAATGTCCACCAGAGCTGTTGCCAGAGAATTTCATGTTAATTTCTTCACCATAAGCCGCCTCCAACATCGTTTTAGAGAATTTGGCAGTACGTTCAACCGGCCTCACAACTGCAGACCATGTGTAACCACGCCAGCCCAGGACCTCCACATCCGGCTACTTCACCTGCGGGATTGTCTGAAACCAGCCACCTGGACAGTTTATGAAACAGAGGATTATTTTTGTCTGTAATAAAGCCCTTTAGTGGGGAAAAACTAATTCTGATTGGATTGGCCTGGCTCCCAGTGGGTGGGCCTGGCTCCCAGTGGGTGGGCCTGGCTCCCAAGTGGGTGGGCCTATGCCCTCCCAGGCCCACCTATGGCTGCGCCCCTGCCCAGTTGTGAAATCCATAGATTATGGCCCAAATGAATTTATTTCAGTTGACTGATTTCCTTATATGAACTGTAGCTCAGTAAAACGTTGAAATTGTTGCATGTTGCGTTTATATTTTTGTTCAGTATATTACTATGCTACAGTATAAATACTGCTTTCAAGTTTGATTGGATTGAGCTCTAAAACAGGTTTAGGATCCATTTTCAATGTCTCCTTCTTGCTGCACATAACAATATGCACAGTACAATGCAAATAGGCCTAGCCTAATTAGGTCCCCTTCAATCTGTGTTTGAAAATAAATACATTACCAAATTACTGTTGCCAGAATTAACCCAACTGAATCCAAATTACATTATCTCTTTTGTGGGTTGTTGGAACCATCTGCATTCTAGCCCAGGTGTGGTTTCCGTTTCAGTAGCCAATCTTCCTAGTGTAACCACCCACTGGGCAAAAACTGGTTGAATCAACGTTGTTTCCATGTCATTTCAACCCCCCAAAAATCAGCGTGATGACGTTGAATCAACGTAGAAAACTGATTGGATTTTCAAAAAGTAATCAACATAAGGGCTTTTTTTAATTATTTTTTTTAACTTTTAATCTAAATCCAATGAAATTGTGACATTTTGTGTTGATATCACGATCTAGATATTTTGTGTGTATGTATTGATATGTAGGCTGTGTGCCATTTTTAAATGTACAGTATGTAGTTCTGTTCTTGTTTATGAATGTTCTGTATTATGTCATGTTTTATGTTCTGTGTGGACCTCAGGAAGAGTAGCTGCTGCTTTCGCAACAGCTAATGGGGATCCTAATAAAATACCAAATACCAATTCACGTTAGTTGACAACTCAACCAAATGTAAAAACTACGTGTTGAACTGACGTCTGTGCCCAGTGGGCAACTAGAGACGTGATACTTATTTACAGCCATGACCTACATCATAGTAGGTCACTTGAGTTGATGTTCTACTGTAGCACGATGCTGCATTCCTTCTGCATGTCAAGTGCCAACGTCTTCTTTATTCTGCGGCGTCACACAACAATCTATCGCATTCTTCTCAATGTAACGTCACTCTCATTTGCCAAAATGAAGATTGCTTGTATAATACTGTACCATATGCCAGAGCTGTGATCAAATAGTATCTGTTTCTTTCAAATCCTTTGGAGTGTTTTGATTGTGCCTGCCTGGAGTGTTTTGATTGCGCCTGCCTGGAGTGTTTCGATTGCGCCTGCCTGGAGTGTTTTGATTGCGCCTGCCTGGAGTGTTTTGATTGCACCTGCCTGGAGTGTTTTGATTGCGCCTGCCTGGAGTGTTTTGATTGCGCCTGCCTGGAGTGTTTTGATTGCGCCTGCCTGGAGTGTTTTGATTGTGCCTGCCTGGAGTGTTTTGATTGTGCCTGCCTGGAGTGTTTTGATTGCGCCTGCCTGGAGTGTTTTGATTGTGCCTGCCTGGAGTGTTTTGATTGTGCCTGCCTGGAGTGTTTTGATTGTGCCTGCCTGGAGTGCCCAGATGGGATGAGTTTACACGTTTGGGACTCTCTCGGTGGTTCCATTCTGCCAGAAAAGCTCAATCAGTGACTCTGAAGTCAAAAGAATAATCAGTAGGCTTTCTCATTTATTTCACAGGAGGTCGTTATCTTATATACAGAGGCATGTGTTTGCAAAGTACAAACAAATACTTCAACTGAAAGTACTAAAATGTATTTCTAAATAATATTTACTGCAATGTGGGCTTTACTGAGGCACTGCATTGTGGTTGAGCAGTGAGAAATGTAAAACCATTATCTACAGACTGCTGAGACGATACATGTTATAGGCTACTGCATTTCTGACAGTTTATAAGAATGAAAATAAACATTGTCTGTTCATGTCTTGGATGCTTTTATGATGAAGCAGTTCTTGTTACGATGAAAACAGTACATTTATGACAGAGATGTGCAGAGTTTACTTTTCGCCATGACGTTTTTGTGTAAAAATGTCACCCCCCCCCCCCCCACAACAACGAATAGAACCGCAACCGAGTTTTAAACATTTTCCCAAATGTTCCCGATACAAAGCATGCAATCAGAAATCTCTTTAGAAAAGTCCCCGTAGACACTGATAAATAGCAGTGTGATCCCAGTCACACACCATGGCATCTAAAGGGGCAACGATGTGGGTAGAGGTCCATTTAGAAACAGGACAGGGGTACTGTATATACCAGGCACATACTGGATCTATTGCTACAGAAAACAGCCCTTCAACACACCTGCAACCATAACATGAAAATATACAGTATATCATATTAAAGTTGAACGGTGTGTTCTTTATTATTCTAGTTGAATAGAAACCATATGTGCCGGTATCAGTTCTATAGTCGAGAGTAATCTATGGGTAACCAAGAGAAGCTAAATGGTCTGTAGAGATCAAGCAACAAAAAAAATGCTGTACAAACTTTGACACTTTTATCTGACAAATAACTCCCTTAAAAGTAGCAAATTATTGCTAAAGACAGTTTATAATAAATTATTGTTTTTCAGCCTTGAGCGTGACATTTCTATATGATGCATTCATAAAACATGCAAAGCAAATACTTCAAATAATAAATAAATAGGACGATTATCCACCCATCTAAAAGTGAATAGGATCTCTGATGCTCATAAAATAGGCAGCCATTTGGGCAGTTTTAGTCCTAAAGAAGTTATGGAGAAAAAAAAAGAAGACATCTGTCAATCGTAACCTTGAGATGTAGGTTTGATTGTCACATACTCATCTTGGTTACCGTACTGCTTCTTAGCCTTGTGTAAACTAGGACCAGATCGTTATGAATGAAAAATGAACTAATATGCAAGGGCCCCGGGATATCTTTAATGTCAAAACAGGTCAAATACAGCGTTCTTTTAATGTGAAAAGTTATTACTTGCCCCTTTCGTCTTGTTACAGTGTGGAATAATTCCCTTTCATGGTAAGCGACTCCAATTCAGAAGAGGTCATGTTTATTTTCTTACTCTAAAAATATCAAAAATAGTAATAATTGTACTGCTATGAAAGACTGGTAACATCAACAAAGTTATACTTTACTATGAAAATGTGTATCCCTTTGTTTTTCCTCTCACATCTCACAGTTTGAAAACTGTTTATCATAAGGAATCACACCAATAACAGCAATAACTTTAATGAACTCATACGGTCAGGCATACTTTGTAAATATTGATAAACTGTATGTCTTTTAGTGTAATAAATGATTATTACATCATTTATATAATTGTCCTGACCCTGCAGAGGTTATTCATGCATATTAACTGTGAAGCAATGTTGACATGAGCAGGGTCAAAGGTAATCTAGGATTTACACACGGCCCCTTTGTGTACTCCCACAAAGCATGTTCACCAAAAATAAACAAATAGTTTGCCTTTTCTCTATGAAAACCCCTAGCAGTTTCTCTGCACAACCACATGTACTAAACCAGGGTAATTTGAGCTATTTTACATTCGGTAAACAACAACAACAACAACAAAATAAAAAGAGAAAAAAGCATTTCCTAGTCGCTGTTACAGAAATGTCTCGCGGTCTCTGTCGGGGGCAGGGCAATGTAAGTTTAGGTCACTGTTCCTGGACTGTTCTAGAATTAGAACTTGGAAAAGTTCGCTAGTCGCCCGTGTGACGCTGTCGTAAGACGGCGGGGAGGAGGTGGAGGACAGGGTCTCCATCAGCTCCATCTCAGGCCCCCCGTAGTTCTCCTTGATCATGGAGGCTATGAGGCCCTCTTTCTCCAGGGTGGTGCCCCTCTTGTCCGTGGAGCTTTGCGTCAGATTGATCTGCATTGATCTGTACAGGAAGGAGGCCTGTTTCATCTGCCTCCGCACCAGGTGCCGGCGGTAGCACCTCTGGATGACAGCGGCCGACATGTCCTCCTGCTTGCGCCTCAGCGTGGTGGTGATGGGCTCGTAGGAGATCTTGGACGGATTGGCCATCATGAACTTCTCCTCCATCTGCTGCTTGAGAGCGTCCATCTCTCCTGACTCACCCAGCACACGCTTGGTGAAGGCAAACAGAATGTCCAGGCAGTGGATCTTGTCCCCACTGACCATGGGTAGGTCCATGGAGATCAGCTTGATCTTGTTGGGCTTGCCAATGCGCAGTGGCTCCGACAGCGTGTCGGCAAAGTCTGACAGCTTGGTGTACTCGATGAACTGCGTGGCCTCCGGGTCGAATTTCTCCCACACCTCGTAAAACATCTCGAAGTCGTCCTCGCTCAGCGGCTCAGTGCTCTCCTCGGTGGCCACGCTGAAGTTCTCCAGAATGATGGCGATGTACATGTTGACCACGATGAGGAAGGAGATGATGATGTAGGTGACGAAGAAGGTGATGCCCACTGAAGGGTTGCCGCAGTTGCCCCGGGCATTGGTGCCTGTGTGGATGAGGTTGGGGTCGCACTCCTCCGGAGAGTTGTTGAGGATGGGGCTGAGCAGGCCGTCCCAGCCCGCCGATGTGGTGATCTGGAACAGGCAGATCATACTGTTGCCGAACGTCTCGAAGTTGAACATGTCGTCGATGCCCGCCTGCTTCTTGACGTAGGCAAAGTTGGCCATGCCAAAGATGGCGTAGATGAACATGACCAGAAAGAGCAGGAGGCCGATGTTGAACAGGGCGGGAAGGGACATCATTAAGGCAAAGAGTAAGGTCCTTATTCCTTTGGCTCCGCGGATGAGTCGAAGTACTCGTCCGATCCTGGCCAATCGGATGACTCGGAACAGTGTGGGCGACACAAAGTACTTCTCTATGATGTCAGCGAGAACGATACCTGGAAGATAGGGGAAAAAACATGAGATTTATGTACTTCTAATAGACCATCATTAACAGTAGGCCAGCTCTTTCACACACTATGTACACAATATCTTATGGAATTAGGTTGACTATTGGTAACCAGGAGTGAATTAAGCTGAAGTACAGAGTCTCCCTGCTATCACTATTCAGCTTCCTTCTCCTTCATGTAAATTCTAGCTTCCCCAGACCCACTCACCAATGAGCTCATGATAAAGGCTTCCACTTATTACTGGGTCTGCCTGCCTTCAAATGACATTCAAGTTGCCTCCCATCCCTCTCACCTCCACGACCACTTTACCATCTGTCCCTGATTTGTGTCCCTCCTCTCCCATGGACCAGGAAGGTCGCACCTGAGTTATTGATTGGGGAGGGGGGTTGGGAGTCACCCTTTGGAGCCATACGTTAAGCCCCCAGCCCCCCACCAACCACCAACCACAACCCTGTGATGCAGCACCTCAATCATGCCCAAATCACCCCCGCTGACAGCCCCGATTGCTACAATTACCTTCACCTCAACAGAGGCATCCTTGCCCACGCATGTAATTTAGCATGGTGACGGCTATTTAGATTCAACCTATGTGCTGGCCCTTTGGTTTGCTTTAGTTCCCCATCAGGGCCATGCAGAACATATATGGTCGCAGAAAGGAAAATCAGTTTGGCGGATACTGAATAGAGAGAGGCTATTACCTAAGCACAGAGTGCCCCTGGTTCATCAGATATAGCCCCACTTACTATCAATGAATTGATTGACACGATAGATAACCTTGCCAAATGAATACAAAAATATTGGATGACAGACGTGATGGCCAAGGTACATTGCAAAACACAATTAAGATTCTGAAATGTGTTCCTTAGCATTTTTTTTTTTACATGTATTAGACTCTCTTATCCAGAGCGACTTACAGTAGTGAGTGCATACATTTTTCATACTGGTCCCCCGTGGGAATCAAACAACCAATGTTCCCTCTAAGCTGCACGCGTGCGCGCAGTAGCCCGAGACTGCCGAGCAGCTCCCCGGGACTGCCACGCAGAAATATCAGCCCACAGAGAGAAGCACGAGATTTAATTTCACTCAACTTTCTAGATCAGTGGTCACCAACCGGTCGATTGCGAATCGACTGGTCGATCTCCAAGGCATTCCTAGTCGATCCGCCAAACACAGTCAAGTAAAACTGTTAGCGGTAGGTGCACCCGATTCAGCTGTCCTGTGAGATTTCAAAACGTTTAAAACCATGACTAGAGATAGACTGTCAACGAATACAGCAAAGATATGCTGTTTTTATGAGTGAGTTCATGTTTAAGTTCTTACTCAGCACTGTCAACACTTTGTATTCAACACTTTTATAAGCCATAAAATCCGCATTCTTCCTATTTCCACTCAGCGCTACAACAAGCGCTGCAGCAGTAATGAATGAGTAGGAAAGTGTATCCCTATAGGCTTGCCTTGTTATTATTAGCAGCTTGGGTCTTTTTTATATCAATGAATACTTCACTTTCTCTGTTCATAGGAGTAACAACATGAATTAGTACATGAGGCAGAAATAATGCGGTGCGTATTGAGTTTTGCCATCAACTGGAAGACGGTGTCCCTTTTTGGTCAGTGTCAGTGGAGGAATGGGAGAGGAGGGACGTTGAGAGACGGACCCCCAGTCTGCTGCCCTCTCCCTCCGCTGAGACTGACCATCAGATGCAGCCACCATCAGCCCAGTAAAATAAAATAAGCGAATGATTTAAATGTATGCTCACTCAGCTGTGCTTCATAAGTAATACAACAGCAGATCTATTACTGATGTGATCATATAGCCTACCTCAAATGTTGAAATGGCCCGAACAACAATGCATTGGTAGGGCAATTCAAGCAAAGCCAATATGCTGTGATAATGTGATGGGCCTATAGCTTACTGCACAAACCTCATTGCAACAGTACTGTTTTTAATTGGTTAATGTTGCATAGGCTTGCGTTTTTTAAGACAGGTAAAAAAAAGAATCTGAGCGGTAGATCTCGGCTTGCATTTAGACTAAAAGTGACTCAGAAAAGGTTGGTGACCACTGTTCTAGAGTTTTCACTGTTAACACTATCAACGTTTCCCTTTAATGTGGCAATTGTGATCGAATCAACGCAATATTAGCCACTTTCAACGCAACATACCGAAACAAAGCAAACTATGCAAGAGATTTTGTTGTAGGCAGAACACATCGGAGTAGGATTCTATTGCATTGACACGCACGACTCAGCCTGTACTCTACACAGACCAGTACGGCATAACCAATCAGAGCTGCAGTAGGCCTATATGCAAATAGACCATTGCCATACATGGATCTGTGCAATTTACTTTGAACTGGACTGTGTTTACAGCATGAGTGGTGGTGAGTAGATGCGCTTGTTTTGAGATCAAAGCGAAAGCTGCATGCAGCCACGTGTGCACATTGTGTTCATATCCTTTGCTAGTTAGTGAGTTATTAGCCCAGTTATAGATCATTGGTAGTCAACAATAGGGGAGTGATTGCTTCCTACAAAAGCACAAAACGTGTACATTTCTAGACATCTTTGAAAAGTGAGTCAGGTAAAGTCAGCTTTGTTTTTGTCTTAAAGGGGCAGTGTTGTATTCTGAGACAGGCTTGAATAAGCTAAGTAGCCAATAGGCAGAGGCTAGCATAATTTGTCTGATTCGCTGTAATAAATGGTATGGGAAAATGTATGTATTTTATTTTGTAAAGTGGTTTCTTGCATCAAACAACACAACAATATTTTCAGTCTCCTCCTTGTCTGAAGGACAAGTGGATAAACAGGTTAATGTCAAGCCCTGCATGTTTTTTTTTCAAAAGTCTCATGGAATGTAGGCCTACATTGAACGCCACAGATTGGCTGCTACTGTAGGCTGAATGTAGAACAGCTATTTCCATGTTAAGATGTTATGGGATGCATTTTCTCCATTGTTTTTTTATGGTAAGCCACTCTGGTAGGCCTACATTATGATCAAATAGCCACAGTAGTCTACATGACCACTGTTAAAACTGTAACCTAAAGCGGGTTCAGCCTCATTGTTCACAGTAAACGCGTGCTGGAAGTGCACAGAATTATCATAACATTCAAGTTTGCGCTCAGCGGACCTGAAATTTGCTCAATGCCACATTTCATTTGAAGGAATATTGCCCACAACCCTGGCATTGCAAGCGCCATGCTCTACAAACTGAGCTACATAGGACATGGGAAATCTGTTGATATGATTTTTGTTGGAAAATTTGAAGGTCCTAAGCTAAATGTCATTATCTGTGAATGGGCCAGCTAGTAACTTGGAATGCCTTGCTTATAAGCAAACCGCCAAGGTCATGTATCAACTGTATCACCCAAGGATGTTGAGCTGCCACAGTGGCATTAGACGAGAACTACATACCGTTAGCCATACATCAGCTACATATACAGAGTCTGAAATATAAAATATATTCTGATTTGTTTAATACTTTTTTGGTTACTACATAATTCCATATGTGTTATTTCCATAGTTTTGATGTCTTCACTTATTCTACAATGTAAAAAATAGTCAAAATAAAGAAAAACCCTTGAATGAGTAGATGTTCTAAAACTTTTGACCGGTAGTGTAGCTACATAAAGTAACCTTATTTCAGTATTACTGCCAGTTGACAAAGACATGCAATTACATCGTAAATGAGCATAATTGAAAACCCCTGATTTAATAAAGCCCAAGCAACAGACTCACCAACGATGGAGAGGATGACCACCACAAAGTCGAAGATGTTCCAGCCAATGGTGAAGAAGTAGCAGCGCAGCGCCACGATCTTGATGAGGCACTCGCAGGAGAAGATGATGATGAAGGCCAGGTTGATTTTGTTGAGGATGTACTCCATGCGGGCCGGCTGCTCGTCCGTCTCCACCATCATGGTAATCATGTTGAGCAGGATGAGGACCATGATGATGATGTCGAACGCCTGCTTGCCCACCAGGTCGAAGAAGAAGCCCTGCACTTGATTCTGGCAGTAGAGAGGTAGAGTGAGTAATAGGTGTTAAGTTCTTTTGAAATGCAAGAGGCTTATGCACTAAGGTGAAGAAAATTTAAAGAATAGGTAACTTATTTGAGGTTTGAACTTTTATGTAATATAGTTTTTTAAAGCCAATACTTCCAAAAAGTTAACTATCCCTTTAAGATCAAGAAATACAAGTCATTGGAACACAAGAGGCTAATACACTATAGGGCAAAGAAAATTAAAGGAATAATTCCCTTTTTTAAAAAGGTTTTAGCTTATTTTCTACTTATCTGGTGTGTTATCAAAAATAAGCCAAAAGCTCTCAAAAAGTGAAATATCCCTTTAATTAGATCAAGAAAATAGGGTTCAATTAGCTCCAGCTTACCACTGGCCTTGGAATTGGTTTCTGAGGCTTTTTAGACCCTAGCTTCTTCATGGCATTGTAGTACTTTTTCTGTTCCTCTGTCATGAAGATGTCTTGCCCACCTAAGTAAAGAGACATCCCGTTTCAGTTATTTTCACTGTGAAAATAACCCCTTTTTTAAGTTCATGGCAGGTTATTCACATCAGACCATTTGTTGGCCATGATGTTTTTGATACTTATCTTTCGTTTCTGCTGGTTGAAGTTGTCGATGATGACACCGATGAAGAGGTTGAGGGTGAAGAAGGAGCCAAAGATGATGAAGATGACGAAGTAGAGGTACATGTACATGTTGACCTCTCTGATAGGCTGTTCGTCCACCTTGTGCAGCCAGGGAAAAACCATGTTAGGACAATACACTGTTCAGTTACATTTTATCATTTGAAAACTGTGTTATTCTGGTAAATGTTATGGTGGTATTGCATCAAGGCATGGTTATAACAAAAAATGCAATATACAGTCATTAATGAAAATACCAAAGCTCTAAGTTATTTTTATGACACTCTTATATTGGCCTTATGATAGAACATTCAAATGTTAAATCATGTCATACAAAACAAGTACATTGACATTTAATACTTACAGCACGAGAATCCACTGCTGCATACATGATGTCCATCCAGCCTTTGAATGTAGCCTTGTAACAAAGGACACAAACTTCAATGAGCATGTGCCACTATCAACTTCAATGAGCATGTGCCACTATCAACTTCAATGTGCATGTGCCACTATCAACTTCAATGTGCATGTGCCACTATCAACTTCAATGAGCATGTGCCACTATCAACTTCAATGAGCATGTGCCACTATCAACTTCAATGTGCATGTGCCACTATCAACTTCAATGAGCATGTGCCACTATCAACTTCAATGAGCATGTGCCACTATCAACTTCAATGAGCATGTGCCACTATCAACTTCAATGAGCATGTGCCACTATCAACTTCAATGAGCATGTGCCACTATCAACTTCAATGTGCATGTGCCAGTATCAACTTCAATGTGCATGTGCCACTATCAACTTCAATGAGCATGTGCCACTATCAACTTCAATGAGCATGTGCCACTATCAACTTCAATGTGCATGTGCCACTATCAACTTCAATGTGCATGTGCCACTATCAACTTCAATGAGCATGTGCCACTATCAACTTCAATGAGCATGTGCCACTATCAACTTCAATGAGCATGTGCCACTATCAACTTCAATGAGCATGTGCCACTATCAACTTCAATGTGCATGTGCCACTATCAACTTCAATGTGCATGTGCCACTATCAACTTCAATGAGCATGTGCCACTTTCAACTTCAATGAGCATGTGCCACTATCAACTTCAATGTGCATGTGCCACTATCAACTTCAATGTGCATGTGCCACTATCAACTTCAATCAGCATGTGCCACTATCAACTTCAATGTGCATGTGCCACTATCAACTTCAATGTGCATGTGCCACTATCAACTTCAATGAGCATCACTATATAAATGCATACATGTTACAATGAAAATTCAAACGAAATATGTTTGTAATTCTATATGACAGAGTGTGGGTATCTATCCTTCCTATGATACGGTTTTGTCATCAACCATAAAACGGAAGAACACCCCCCCCCAAAAAAAAATATATATAAATCATAATCATACAGTCTCTACAAAATAAATATTGGACATCTGCCATGTTAGAGCTGAGATGTTATGAATGGCAGTGGAAAGGACTTATATGTGCTTCCTCCTGACAGCATGGAGTGTCTTTCTAGAGGGAGGAAAAATGAGAGTGAGCAGGGTGCCCTACTTCAACTGTCGGGGCTAGAAGCACAAGCATTTCACTACACCCGCAATAACATCTGCTAAACAGGTGTATGTGACCAATACATTTGATTTGATATTGACAAGTGAGTTCTTATCAGCGAGAAATCACAGTGGTGGGCCTTTTCGCCTTGGTTACGGGTTATTATTGGCTTTTGTGAATGACTGAGGGCCAGACTATTTCCAGATGCAAATGGGAAGTTTGAATGGAGCCAAGTCACAAGAAGGTGACAGAAAGGAGTTAAGTGAATTGTTGCTAGGCTACCGCGCCAACTAAGTTAAAGCGAAGAATGAAGTGCATGCACTTGCATAGCACAACATTCTCTGTAATGGCCCACGCCGCTGCTAAAAATAAAAGCTTTCGACTTGTTGATTGATTCAGGGATCTCTAGACAGGCACGGTGGGCAGCGACAAAAAATATGAGGTACAAGTGGGAGGAAAGAACATCTCAAACTGTGAGGAAAATAAAAAAAAAAATAAGTCCAACTCACAACTTGTAAGAGGGCAAGGTAACCGGCGCCCACGTTGTCGAAGTTGACCTTGACTATGGTCCAGTAGAACTGCGTGTCGTTCATGGCCAGGCAGTCGGTCTTGTTGTTGACCATGGACACGTTGTGGATGAACCCTGTCCGGTTGACGCAGCGACCGTACTTGCCGGCGAACAGGTTGACCCCCATGATGCTGAAGATGAGCCAGAAGATCAGGCACACCAGCAGTACGTTCATGATGGACGGGATGGCGCCGATCAGGGCGTTCACCACAACCTGTCGCCATGGAAACACACGCAGCACGTCAGGTATCCATCCGCCCCCTTCTGCTTTCATGTGACACACTCCATGCATGATGCCAGTAACTTAATCAGAGAAACTCACACCAGTGTCTACATGCTTGTGGTTGACTTCACACACTTACCCTAAGTGCTTGCCCAAACCACATCCCCCCAACACTAAATATATATATATAAATATCAAACCACTCAAAAACACTTTTGTAGAATAATCCCACCACCCTTAAAAATATCAAATTTCCAAAATCCATGCAAACTAGTGGAACTGGCAAATGAGATTAAGCATGTTTGTTTGTCTCATATTCAAATCAGGAGCAGCAGCAACTTTTTAAACCACCCTGTTAAGAGATTTCCTGGTTGAGACGAACCTTAAAGTGCTAGACTAGAGCAACAGGAGGGTAGTGATTGCAGAGCTAGGAGTTCCTGAGTGTCACTGCCGTAATAGAACCAGTGGATATTGGGGTTCAGCCCTGCACATCCCTCAAGAGGGTGTCACAAAGAAACCTGCTGCTCACTCAGACTCACTCCTTTGTATAGCAGGGCTTCACTTCCACTTCGTGTTTCCCACTGAGGAGCGGACCCAGCCGTTTTCAAGCAGTGTGACGCCTAATCCCATTTGCCAGATTTACAGTGGCGGAGAGCAGCGAGCTCGGCGGACATCAGCCCCCCCATTTCCGACAGCATGCACATTTCATGAGCAGGAATTCAAATTCATTCCAGTGGATGTCAGGGGAAATTATATACATATTAAAGGCCTACAAGCTAGGCTGACAGCTGTTGACTTAGAAAACTAACATGGTGCAACAGGAGGGAACAATAGCCCAAAATCTTAACTACAGTGTGCATGAACTGTTCGAGGGGGTTTAAGGATGTGTTTGAGGGAATGAATAATGATTATGGAAATGTTACAGGCTAAACATTAATTGGAATATCTGAACACAGGAATGCATGCAAGAGAAAGTGAGAAGAAAAGCAACTGCTTAAACAAACAGTGGAATAGCAAGAATATTTATATTAATACTGACAGAAGTGAGAAACAACTTGTAAAGTAATATCACAGATGAGTAAAGATGTGATATTGGATAGAAAGTTTGGAATGAGATAATGGAAATTCTAAATACTAAGTGTATGGAGTATGTACATGGAGTATGTACATGCATAATTCTACTACATTTATCAGCTTTTCTGGTAACAGTTTGCAATGATTTGTCCATTTTCCTGTGTAATAATGCTGTAACAACATTGATTTAGTGAGAACTGGGCTTTGTTAACAGAAACCCCTTGATAAAGATGAGCAATAATGACTGTATTAAATAAATAATTCGAATACTGAGCTATATTGTATGCTCCAAACAATTAGGAAAATATATAATGTTATACTAATACAATTGCTCAGAGAAATATATTTTTTAAACAAGTAATACTTTTTTTTTTTCAAGGAAGTAGGGGTCAAAATTATTGACACCCTTAAAGATTCTTATTAAAAACATAGTCAAAAGTTTAGTATTTGGTCCCATATTCCTAGCACTTAATGACTACATCAAGCTTGTGACTTGTTGGATGCATTTGCAGTTCATTTTGGTTTTGTTTCAGATTGTTTTGTACCCAAGACAGATAGCCTGTTATTGGTAATCTGTAACTTTCTCACTCATCATTATTCATGATTCATTCAGTATTATCCTTAATCATGGTAGCATCCTCATTAACGTAGAAGTGTTTAGAAAATTGTTCTATTCTTATTTATAATAAAAGTGACTCCAAAATGACACAAAACATTATTTACCATTAATTTATATTGGGGACAAAATCTGAAACACAACCAAAACTAACTGCAAATGCATCCAACAAGTTTGTAGAGTCACAAGCTTGATGTAGTCATTGCGTGGTAAGAATATGTGACCAAATAGTCAACTTATGAATACTTTATTTATAAGAATCTTTAGGGGTGTCAATTTTGACCCCTACCTTTTTTAGATTTGTATTTGTTAAACAAAATCACTTTCTCTGAGCAATTGCATTAGTATAAAATAGTATAATTTCCCAATTTTTTGGAGCATACAATATAGCTCAGTATTTGAAAATGTATTTTATACAGTAATCATTGCTCATCTTTATCAAGGGTGTCAATCATTTCGGACCCCACTGTATCTCTCAAGTATTTACTTGGAAATTACGTGATAACAATAGGCAATTTTCTGTTCAAACTTAAATTTGTTGTAAACATTTGGTATATGATACCTGTTTTGCTGATTCCTAAATGATGATGTAGGGCATAATTATAATTTCACTATGAAAGGTCCTGGTAAAAAAGACTACAAAATAAAGCTTAATATGAAATAAAGCTTATCCAAATTGATAAGCTGGATAATGAGGTAGTCATGTCATGCTAAGGAGGGAGTTGAGGGGAATTATGAAAACATAATTAGCTCTTCATGCTAAAATCTTCCAAGGGAAAGATTGGCTAGGGATTAGTGGCATTAGCTGGAGAATTAAGAGATGAGCAAAGCATGGATTTTTTACGGTATTATAACACCATAAGAGGAGATATGAAGTAGGCAAATATTTTGAGTATTCTGAATAGAAACAGTGAAAATGCTGGTAAGGGAAAGAAAGGGTGGTAGAGAGCGTGACAGATGAGATGGTTCGATGACATCAGGAGTGAGAGGGAGAGACCACTCTTACCCGCATGCCTTCAAATCGGGACAGTGCTCTTAGCGGCCTCAGAGCTCTGAGGGTTCTAAGTGATTTGATGGCAGCGAAGTCCGAGTAGCCCAGCGTGTTAGCCACTAGGCTCACCAAAGACACCTAGGAGGAGACAGAAAGCGCAAGAACCCACATGGTTAGTGGGGCTGCCACAACCTGTTCAAAGAAATGTCTACACAGTACCTGAAAAGGAACACTGGACCACTCTGGCCCCATCCTGTTAGCAACTGTGTTAAGGGTTCATAAGAGTCCAATGTGTGTTCATGTCACCCAGAATGGGAGCATCAAGGTCATCCTTCTGATATTCAAGGGGATATAATGTTAAAATTAGGTTATTTCGTAGCAGAATAATGAATGGTCACGAAACTTCTGCTTTGATCTGTGTAAGAGAGAGGAAGAGAGGTCAATGAAACTACAGCTCAAGGTGTCTACTGTGCATGGTCGGGGGTGGTGGTTAGCGGTCAGATCGGGCCTTACCCTTACGCCGGCAAACCGGTCCACCGCAATGCTCGCATGGTCCTGAGGACTCGCAAGGTGCCAATTTGCTCTACATTGACGGCACTGGCCAACAGGCCAATCACTGATATCTGGCCAACAGTGAATCAAATTATAGTTCATTCAGTGAAAACACATACTTGCTTACTTTTAAATTAATATATAGTACAGACTGATCCAATACATACAGGTTTTTACACAAGCAAACCTGCATGGAGCAAAGTGGGTGGTTTTGTACTCTGAAGAATTCATTTTTAGCCCCCAAAAACCCCTCACAAATTAATATTCAACAGCCCTCCAGACACTGTCTGAGACTAATACCACAATCAGATAAATGACTGAAATTATTCTGAAAGGTTCACAGACATCTGCGCTTCGTCATGTTGTTTTAATGAATCACTGACTCAAGTGCAGGGGCTTTTTGTGCTCTTATGCCTCGGGATGTAAGAAAATAAAAACATCACAACACTTTTGTTGAACACGATCAGCAGAGCACAGAGCTAGATGGAGGGAGTAAACCCACTGGGGATCTTCTTGCCTAAAGTGTTTGGTACTTCATCACTTGGAGACCTTTGGCATTACACATAGTGGTTCAGGATGCATTAAAACACTTTGTTGAGGGGCCTTAAAAAAGATTCAGCAAGCACACAAACACATTGTGATTCCCCCTCCACTTGTCACATCTACATTTTACATTTTAGTCATTTAGCAGACGCTCTTATCCAGAGCGACTTACAGTTAGTGAGTGCATACATTTTCATTTATATCTGGCGTTTCGTGGGAAATTGATTTGGAAGAGATGAAAAATATTCCTGTAGTGATTGAAGCACGTCGGATGAATCGAGTGGTGAATAGGGATAAAGTCAAGAGTTGCAGTTTTTTGAAATGGAGTCTCTCCCAAATGAAGTGCGGTTAGGGAATATACTGGCCCCCCGTGGGGCAATTTAGAATATTGAATCACTCAGGAGGGAACTACACACCACCAACAGTGGTATAAATCCACCGCCACATTTCCATTATTTTGGTGGACAATAGGAAGGCATGATCATTTTGAATGCCATGTTTGGTTATCTTTTCAATTCACTTCATCTCACAATTTACATGAAGAAACACAGGCAATATTGCAGATTAAATAGAACAAACATCTGCTGCACATCCAAAACCAAGATGCATAAAGGTATCATCTATCATTAGAAATAGTCCCAGCAAGCTGTGTATGGGGAATACGTATTGACTTAGCAGTTTTCATGGCAATGGTAAAACATGCCAGAGAAATTTCCCTGGGAGAAAAATGCTATTTACATCTCTTTTTCTTTTTTTCTCCCTCCCTCCTCTCTCTCCCACTCCCCCGCTCTTTCTTTCTCTTCCCTCCCCCCTGACATCTCTCTCCCTCCCTTTGTGCGGTGTGTCTGTGTGCAGAGAGCAAACACTAATTGCTCAAGCCTCTCTGCCTAAAGACTCTCTGCCACAGACCAATATGTCCAAACTACTGACGTGAACTCAGCTCTCATGTTTCTCCCAGAGGATGAAGCGGTAACAAATAAGTGACGTTTGACCCCAGGGGATTGTGGGGTTGCTAGACTCGCTACAGGGCTGTGCTGATTGGACAAAGCGTTTTTGAGAACCGCAGTAGGTCGGTGAAAATTCCCGAAATGTGCCTAGTCCTTCCCAGGCAGTATTTACCAGTATACTGTACATTATGAGCAGGTTTCCCACACACAGATTAAGATTCCCTGACAATATTCTCCATTTAGCATCCTTATTCATTCGGGATTCGGCTTTTTCTGAATCCGGGAAATGGGTCCTATGACTGTCTGGCATGACAGCTAAACCATCCAAAAAGTGAAGTGGCTCAATACAACTATTATTGACAGAGTAAGACAAGACAAATCAGGATTCCACATTGTCCACTTCTCAAAACTAATTCAGAGCTTTCAGAATGCATGCGAAAAACAGATCGATTGATCACGTCTGACCAGATTATAAAACACAATCAAGTGAAGTGGGCCGCCGCTTTAGCAAATTACATCATCGTCTCGTCATCATGTCTGAGGGTTTGGAAATAAACGTTGCACTTACATCCACAATCAGGAAATCCAGCCAGCACCAGTAGTTAGTGAAGTACTTCTTGAATCCGTAGGCGATCCACTTGAGGAGCATCTCTAGGATGAAAATGTAGGTGAAGATCTTGTCGGCGTACTCCAGCACCACTTTGACCACTTTTCTCTGTTCGATGTAGATGTCCTCAAAGGCCTTCGGAAAGATACATGGGAGACGAGTCATGATTAGGTATTTTTAAATAGTCAATAGGCAATTAGTCTCATGCTGTAATACTATGGAACATCTCTAGTCTCGTATTCACTCAGCAATCAATCTTACCACAGCAATAATAATGCTGTATCTTAATGACATACATACCGATTGTGTGCATCAGTGTCTTATTCTAATCACTGGAAACTGGTAGTATGTATTGTTATGATGTGGGGGAAGGTTAGTGGTAGGACAAACACACTACCAGGATGTACATCCATACTCTATCCCCAGGTGGCAGCAGCAACTGGTTTAGATGCTGAGCCAAGTCTTTATTTGCACACAGGTGCTGCCAATTAAGGTGATAGTCAGTCAGTGTCCCAGCTGGCAGGGCCGTGAGGCTGCTGGCTTTGTTTGGTGGCCATTGAGTCTTTAGTTTAGGCATGCCTGTTTGTAGTTTTTCCTTTTTGTATGTTTACTTACATCACCATCGAAACAAATAATAATCTGCTTGGACAGGCCGACAATGTGAATCATGACTGAGCTGGCCCTGGACCTGAGTTAAGGTGGCTGTCTTCCGGGTACAAGCACTGAACACCTGGTCACATATGCATACTTCTCACATTTATGCACACATCCAATCAGGTCACAGACCATGTAGCTAGGCCTAAGACCCCTAGACATAACAAATGCAGCAAACCCAGTAGGCTAATTTCTGGTATTGTAATAGTATGTACACGTGAGGAAGTCTACACGCTATTTTTTACATGAAACCCTTTCAGTGTTTTATTTCACAACCAGCAAAATAATATGTTCATATGCTACAGTGTATAATAATTGATTGAGGCCTTTTGCATCACAATTATTACTCAGATAATAAAGTTGAATGAAAACAACAAGGGTCTTTTACAGATGATAACATTTCTAGAATGAGGGACTGTGACGTGTAAAATGTCCAGTAATGTATAATGACTAGTTTCAAACATGGTATACGAACATCCAATGACATGCAGCTGCTGGGTACAAAAATAAACGAATGAAATAATAGATACTCACACACTGATGAATGCTCCCGTTGTTTAACGTTTCAACCCAAATGTCCTCGTCAGGCTTAACCCACATAAGAAATGCGATGATATTTATAGATTCAACATAATGAGCAGGCGATACAGGCTGTGTCATTAATTAACCCTTCGTCATATAAACACAAGTTTTACAGTGAAACAACAGGAACATTCATCAATGTGCCGGTATCTATTCTCTATCATATTGTCAACATGCTGCATACATGGAATATGCATGCTTTTCTGTAAAAGAAGGAAAGTGCTTTCATAGGAAATTAAACAACCAAACAAAATGGAGTGCTTTTGCTGAGCAACAAGAGCCCTGTCGTCACCGTCGGAAACCATTTGCTCTACACTCATGAGCTACGCCGCCATGCGCCCTACATTAACGCCACGCGGGCTTGGCCTGCACACTCAGCACCGGGCAATGCCCAGGAGAATGCCCACACTGACAGGGAAATGCCCAGAAGAAACAACAATCTGCTTGGACAGAGATGGAGGAGTAGGAGGGTGGATGGAGAATGAGTTATGGGTCGGGGTGGGGTGGAGAGGCAGGCACTGGTAGCACAGCTGAGGTTTGGGCTCTCTCTGACCAATCCACTGCTAATTAGGAGGAGAGCGGAGAAGGCTTGAGTAATCATTGATCTGACTCCTCTCAGCTGCATATCTGTTAATGCACTACATCACTGAGGAGGAGGAAATTGAGGAGGATGAGTGTGAGAGGGCAATGAAAAGCTGCACCTCAACCAATCATTCATTGCTTCTGTGGGCCCAATTTATTGCAATAGACACTTTGTTTTCAATGTTTTCATATATACAGTTGAAGTCGGAAGTTTACATACACTTAGGTTGGAGTCATTAAAACTAGTTTTTCAACCACTCCACAAATTTCTTGTTAACAAACTATAGTTTTGGCAAGTCGGTTAGGACATCTACTTTGTGCATGAAACAAGTAATTTTTCCAACAATTGTTTACAGACAGATTATTTCACTGTATCATTGTATCACAATTCCAGTGGGTCACTAAGTTGACTGTGCCTTTAAACAAAATTCCAGAAAATGATGTCATGGCTTTAGAAGCTTCTGATAGGCTAATTGACATATTTTGAGTCAATTGGAGGTGAACCTGTGGATGTATTTCAAGGCCAATCTTCAAACTCAGTGCCTCTTTGCTTGACATAATGGGAAAATCAAAAGAAATCAGCCAAGAAAAATTGTAGACCTCCACAAGTCTGGTTCATCCTTGGGAGCAATTTCCAAATGCCTGAAGGTACCACGTTCATCTGTACAAACAATAGTACGCAAGTATAAACACCATGGGACCACGCAGCCGTCATACCGCTCAGGAAGGAGCCGCCTTCTGTCTCCTAGAGATGAACGTACATTGGTGCGAAAAGTGCAAATCAATCCCAGAACAACAGCAAAGGACCTTGTGAAGATGCTGGAGGAAACAGGTACAAAATTATCTATATCCACAGTAAAACGAGTCCTATATCGACATAACCTGAAAGGCCACTCAGCAAGGAAGAAGCCAGTGCTCCAAAACCGCCATAAAAAAGACAGACTACGGTTTGCACCTGCACATGGGGACAAATATTGTACTTTTTGGAGAAATGTCCTCTGGTCTGATGAAACAAAAATAGAACTGTTTGGCCATAATGACCATCGTTATGTTTGGAGGAAAAAGGGGGTCCTTGCAAGCCGAAGAACACCATCCCAACCGTGAAGCACGGGGATGGCAGCATCATGATGTGGGGGAATTTTGCTGCAGGAGGGACTGGTGCACTTCACAAAATAGATGGAAGGAAAAGTATGTGGATATATTGAAGCAACATCTCAAGACATCAGTCAGGAAGTTAAAGCTTGGTCGCAAATGGGTCTTCCAAATGGACAATGACCCCAAGCATACTTCCAAAGTTGTGGCAAAATGGCTTAAGGACAACAAAGTCAAGGTATTGGAGTGGCCATCACAAAGCCCTGACCTCAATCCTATAGAACATTTGTGGGCAGAACTGAAAAAGCGTGTGCAAGCAAGGAGGCCTTCAAACCTGACTCAGTTAAACCAGCTCTGTCAGGAGGAATGGGCCAAAATTCACCCAACTTATTGTGGAAAGCTTGTGGAAGGCTACCCGAAACGTTTGACCCAAGTTAAACAATTTAAAGTCAATGCTACCAAATACTAATTGAGTGTATGTAAACTTCTGACCCACTGGGAATGTGATGAAAGAAAAAAAAGCTGAAAGAAATCATTCTCTCTACAATTATTCTGACATTTCACATCCTAACTGACCTAAGACAGGGAACCTTTACTAGGATAAATGTCTGGAATTGTGAAAAACTGAGTTTAAATGTATTTGGCTAAGGTGTATGTAAACTTCTGACTTCAACTGTATATATATATACAGTGGGGAGAACAAGTATTTGATACACTGCCGATTTTGCAGGTTTTCCTACTTACAAAGCATGTAGAGGTCTGTAATTTTTATCATAGGTACACTTCAACTGTGAGAGACGGAATCTAAAACAAAAATCCAGAAAATCACATTGTATGATTTTTAAGTAATTAATTTGCATTTTATTGCATGACATAAGTATTTGATACAGCAGAAAAGCAGAACTTAATATTTGGTACAGAAACCTTTGTTTGCAATTACAGAGATCATACGTTTCCTGTAGGTCTTGACCAGGTTTGCACACACTGCAGCAGGGATTTTGGCCCACTCCTCCATACAGACCTTCTCCAGATCCTTCAGGTTTCGGGGCTGTCGCTGGGCAATACGGACTTTCAGCTCCCTCCAAAGATTTTCTATTGGGTTCAGGGCCGGAGACTGGCTAGGCCACTCCAGGACCTTGAGATGCTTCTTACGGAGCCACTCCTTAGTTGCCCTGGCTGTGTGTTTCGGGTCGTTGTCATGCTGGAAGAGCCAGCCACGACCCATCTTCAATGCTCTTACTGAGGGAAGGAGGTTGTTGGCCAAGATCTCGAGATACATGGCCCCATCCATCCTCCCCTCAATACGGTGCAGTCGTCCTGTCCCCTTTGCAGAAAAGCATCCCCAAAGAATGATGTTTCCATCTCCATGCTTCACGGTTGGGATGGTGTTCTTGGGGTTGTACTCATCCTTCTTCTTCCTCCAAACAAGGCGAGTGGAGTTTAGACCAAAAAGCTCTATTTTTGTCTCATCAGACCACATGACCTTCTCCCATTCCTCCTCTGGATCATCCAGATGGTCATTGGCAAACTTCAGACGGGCCTGGACATGCGCTGGCTTGAGCAGGGGGACCTTGCGTTCGCTGCAGGATTTTAATCCATGACGGCGTAGTGTGTTACTAATGGTTTTCTTTGAGACTGTGGTCCCCGTCCCAGCTCTCTTCAGGTCATTGACCAGGTCCTGCTGTGTAGTTCTGGGCTGATCCCTCACCTTCCTCATGATCATTGATGCCCCACGAGATGAGATCTTGCATGGAGCCCCAGAACGAGGGTGATTGACCGTCATCTTGGACTTCTTCCATTTTCTAATAATTGCGCCAACAGTTGTTGCCTTCTCACCAAGCTGCTTGCCTATTGTCCTGTAGCCCATCCCAGCCTTGTGCAGGTCTACAATTTTATCCCTGATGTCCTTACACAGCTCTCTGGTCTTGGCCATTGTGGAGAGGTTGGAGTCTGTTTGATTGAGTGTGTGGACAGGTGTCTATTATACAGGTAACAAGTTCAAATAGGTGCAGTTAATACAGGTAATGAGTGGAGAACAGGAGGGCTTCTTAAAGAAAAACTAACAGGTCTGTGAGAGCCGGAATTCTTACTGGTTGGTAGGTGATCAAATACTTATGTCATGCAATAAAATGCAAATTAATTACTTAAAAATCATACAATGTGATTTTCTGGATTTTTGTTTTAGATTCCGTCTCTCACAGTTGAAGTGTACCTATGATAAAAATTACAGACCTCTACATGCTTTGTAAGTAGGAAAATCTGCAAAATCGGCAGTGTATCAAATACTTGTTCTCCCCAATGTATATACCACAATTTGTCTTATCTCAATTTCACCTGCTTGACATTCTCAGCTAGCTCTACTATGTTGGGCACTTCATGCCTGCCAACCTTAGTGTTAGATTGTAATAGCAGGTGAAAGAGTCATTGACCTTGTTTGTGAGCTGCATCCTGGAACAAATGGTGTTAGAGTTAGTCCTGAGAGGCTTGTAGGGTGCTGTCTTGGAAATAGTGTGCGAGGGCTCATGGAAAAAACGCCCAACATAGTATTAGTGTTATTACAGCCTAAGACCAAAGTTAGCACATCACACAAGCTAATCAAGAGTCGACCATCCATGTTAGCATCATCCCGATATCATTTATGGGATTTTGTGCAAAGTCTATTGGCTAACCTTCTATTTGATGAGATAATCTTATTATTGTCTTATTAAATAGCCTGGATCTCAGAGTAAATCAATAACTGTGTAGAAAATAGCAATAAAAAAAGAGATGAGGTAACAAACAACTTGTATGATCTGAGAGATTATTCCTAAACATCTCACACAGCCTGAAGCCTCTACTTACAGCACATTACACTCTTAGAAAAAAAGGAGCTATCTAGATCCTAAAAGGGTTCTTCGGCTGTCCCCATAGGAGAACCCTTTGAATAACCCTTTTGGTTCCAGGTAGAACCCTTTTGGGTTCCATGTAGAATCCTTTCTACAGAGGGTTCTACATGGAACCCATAAGGGTTCTACCTGGAACCAAAAATGGTTCTACTTGGAACCAAAAATGGTTCTCCTATGAGGACAGCCGAAGAACCCCTTTGGAACTGTCCCTGTTGGATAGCTCTGTGTCATCCCCTGTTCCCCCCCCCCCCCCCCCCCCCAGTCTCACCCCACACTGGGTGGCCTGGCCTGGCAGATTGACCAGTCAGCAGGCAGGGCCGATGCGACCCCCGCCACCCCTACCCAGCATGCCCGCTGCTTACCAGAGCACCACTGCTCAGCAGGATCATGAAGATGATGAACGACTCGAACCAGCTGTGCTCCACGATCTGAAAGCAGGTCTTCCTCAACCGCCACCATGCCTGGCCCAGACCCTCCGTGGTTTGGATATCACAGCACTGGAAGTGGCGCACGCACACTGGGGGAGAGAGAGAGAGAAAGAGAAAGAGAGAGATAGAGGGATAAAGAGAGACAGAGAGAGAGAGAAAAGGAGAATGATTACTCTATTGTAAGTGTGCAAATGGATACTCTATTGACTCATCAATGTTTTAAAGAGAGAGAGAGAATTAAAGTATTTGACAAATGTACTGACATGTCAATGTCTCTTTTTTCCAATACGTATCCAAGGCCAACATTTTACCCATTCATTTAATGAATGGTTGATTCAATTAATATTTCTGCGAACTCATCTTAATACACATGATGCAGGAAGTAGTGACAGGAAGTAGTGAACGTACAGAGATCATAGCCCATGTGAGCGCTAGCTAGCTAGCACACCTTCCACTACTTTATACTAGCGCTCCAGCCTAGCCAGGAGGATAAGGACCCAGTGTCTTTGATAATCTCACTGCTTCACTAGAGAAGAGACTATGGTTTTGGAGCAACATATTCCCTGGTATCAATTACTCTTTAAAAGCTTTCCAGCCAGAACAATGGCTCAGGCTGGCTGCTATTCCCATGGCCGCCGAGTCGACCCGGCTCCTCCATAACCGTCATCTGAGCCCCCCGTCCAAATGAATTTATTGCCTGTAAACTTAATAATAACGGGATTATGGCAACGGACCACTTGCAACTCAATTTCTAATGATGCTCTCAGGCTCTTTCTTGGAAACCGCGGACGTTTTAGCGCCCTGGCACTGACATCTGCCAAGCAATTAATGGCCATCAACGAGAAATCAAGAGGCTTTATTGACTGACATTGACAAGGCATTTACAGTTATCAACCGGTCGATATACGGTTAGACCTCAGAGTAGAGGCATTTCCTAAGGGATTTTTTTTAGTTTTGTTCTTTGAGAGTACAAATAATGCAAATTGAAATGCTGTGTTGAAATGCTGCTACCTCTTCTCTGAGTGTAAAACGCTATGAAGGGCCCGCATAACCTTGCGCATGTTTGAGTGCACGTCAGCTAGAGGGAGCTGGACAGAAATATAATGTAGGGCAAAGGCAGGCCTCCTTCTTGCAGTTTGTCCGTTTAGCTCAGCTGCTGTAACGTCTAGTGATGGGGAAAAAAATAAATCAATACAGTTACGATACAGTTACTTATTTTGGACGATATTATATAGATCTTTTTTATTTTGCTAGGCAGCGTTATCTAGCGCTAGTCAGGTTCACCTGCGCCAAAACTCTGTTATTTTTCATCCTATAGCTTGTTCTCCATCTTCTTTTTAAACAGTGAGCCAACATGTTTTCAACACTTATATTTCCATGACTGTTCAAAACTAATTGTCTCATGCTCTCTCGTCTCTCTATAGCAGACATATAGTGAGCAATATGTTAGGAACATCAAATCAAAAAAAAAAATCGCAGTATCGAATCGCAATACATAAAGAATCATTTTAATCGTGAGTATTTTGAGAATCACAATGCATATCTTATCGGCACCTAAGTATTGTGATATGGCATCGTGAGCCCCCTGGAAATTCCCAGCCCTAGTAACGTCCCTCTGGTGATTTAGTCCCTCGAGCTATCGTTAGAAAAGTCCAGAGACTTGTGGTTTGTTAGGTTGGCGGCCATTTTGTATGAAAAACCATTAGTCATGGCACTGAGACAGGGAGACAAAAAATACAATACAAATCTTTAGGGGGTAATATTGCAGATAGATTGTAACTTCCATCAATGTTATTGTCTGCATCACTTCCAATCCCCCATATGTTTTTTCTCTTGCATATATATATATAGTCCCCTGTAGCTCAGTTGGTAGAGCATGGCGCTTGCAACGGCAGGGTTGTGGGTTCGTTTCCCACAGTGGGGCAGTATGAAAATGTATGCATTCACTAACTGTAAGTCGCTCTGGATAAGAGCGTCTGCTAAATGACTAAAATGTAAATATATACAGTGAGGGAAAAAGTATTTGATCCCCTGCTGATTTTGTACGTTTGCCCACTGACAAAGACATGATCAGTCTATAATTTCGTTGGGGAATCCCATCTATCTGTTAACACCATCCATATTGGATTTCTGTTTGCCATATATTTTTCAACTGTACTGTGATGTTTTACAAAAGTTCTGAACCTTTCTATTCTCATTGTTTCTACAGATTGTAAATTGAAAATAAATATTTTTGCTAAAAGTATTATTATATTATTGATCGATTGACTATGACTTTTCAGATCACCCAGTAATACTATCTGCAGGGTTAGCTCCAGGTAAATATTGCAATCCTTTAGCCATTCCTGGACCTGTGTCCAAAAACAAGCTACAAATGGACCGTACCAAAACAAATGATCTAATGATTCTGTCTCTTCGCAGCAAAATCTGCAGAGATGGGAAGATTGTATCCCCCATTTAAATAACATTCTATTGGTAGCAATAATTGTATATAATCATTTAAATTTAAAAAATTCTAAGTTCCAGTAATGCTTGGCGAAAACCAAACTCTGCATTACACAGTAAGAACATCATACCAAAGGTCAAGCATGGTGGTGGTGGTGTGATGGTTTGGGGATGCTTTGCTGCCTCAGGACCTGGACGACTTGCCTTAATAGAAGGAACCATGAATTCTGCTCTGTATCAGAGAATTCTACAGGAGAATGTCAGACCATCCGTCTGTGAGCTGAAGCTGAAGCGCAGCTGGGTCATGCAGCAAGACAATGATCCAAAACACACAATCAAGTCTACATGAAAATTGCTAAAAAGCAACAAATTGGAAGTTTTGGAATGGTCTAGCTAGTCAAAGTCCAGACCTAATCCCAATTGAGATGTTGTGGCAGGACTTGAAATGAGCAGTTCATGTTTGAAAACCCACACGTCACTGAGTTAAAGCAGTTCTGCATGGAAGAGTGGGCCAAAATTCCTCCACAGTGACGTGAGAGACTGATCAACAACTACAGGAAGCATTTGGTTGGAGTCATTGCAGCTAAAGGTGGCACAACCAGTTATTGAGTGTAAGGGGGCAATTACTTTTTCACACAGGGGAATTGGGTGTTGCATTACTTTGTTTAGTAAATAAATGAAATAAATATGTAATTGTTGTGTTATTTTTTCACTTATGTTCCCTTTATCTAATATTAGGTTTTGGTTGAAGATCTGATAACATTCAGTATCACAAATATGCAAAAGTAGAGAAAATTAGAAAGGGGGAAAATACTTTTTCATAGCACTGTATATGGGACGGCTGTCAATCCTTTGGTCCTTACAGTGGGGAAAAAAGTATTTAGTCAGCCTCCAATTGTGCAAGTTCTCCCACTTAAAAAGATGAGAAAGGCCTGTAATTTTCATCATAGGTACATGTCAACTATGACAGACAAATTGAGAATTCTTTTTCCAGAAAATCACATTGTAGGATTTTTTATGAATTTATTTGCAAATTATGGTGGAAAATAAGTATTTGGTCACCTACAAACAAGCAAGATTTCTGGCTCTCACAGACCTGTAACTTCTTCTTTAAGAGGCTCCTCTGTCCTCCACTCGTTACCTGTATTAATGGCACCTAGTTGAACTTGTTATCAGTATAAAAGACACCTGTCCACAACCTCAAACAGTCACACTCCAAACTCCACTATGGCCAAGACCAAAGAGCTGTCAAAGGACACCAGAAACAAAATTGTAGACCTGCACCAGGCTGGGAAGACTGAATCTGCAATAGGTAAGCAGCTTGGTTTGAAGAAATCAACTGTGGGAGCAATTATTAGGAAATGGAAGACATACAAGACCACTGATAATCTCCCTTGATCTGGGGCTCCACGCAAGATCTCACCCCGTGGGGTCAAAATGATCACAAGAACGGTGAGTAAAAATCCCAGAACCACACGGGGGGACCTAGTGAATGACCTGCAGAGAGCTGGGACCAAAGTAACAAAGCCTACCATCAGTAACACACTACGCCGCCAGGGACTCAAATCCTGCAGTGCCAGACGTGTCCCCCTGCTTAAGCCAGTACATGTCCAGGCCCGTCTGAAGTTTGCTAGAGTGCATTTGGGTGATCCAGAAGAGGATTGGGAGAATGTCATATGGTCAGATGAAACCAAAATAGAACTTTTTGGTAAAAATTCAACTCGTCGTGTTTGGAGGACAAAGAATGCTGAGTTGCATCCAAAGAACACCATACCTACTGTGAAGCATGGGGGTGGAAACATCATGCTTTGGGGCTGTTTTTCTGCAAAGGGACCAGGACGACTGATCCGTGTAAAGGAAAGAATGAATGGGGCCATGTATCGTGAGATTTTGAGTGAAAACCTCCTTCCATCAGCAAGGGCATTGAAGATGAAACGTGGCTGGGTCTTTTAGCATGACAATGATCCCAAACACACCGCCCGGGCAACGAAGGAGTGGCTTCGTAAGAAGCATTTCAAGGTCCTGGATTGGCCTAGCCAGTCTCCAGATCTCAACCCCATAGAAAATCTTTGGAGGGAGTTGAAAGTCTGTGTTGCCCAGTGACAGCCCCAAAACATCACTGCTCTAGAGGAGATCTGCATGGAGGAATCGGCCAAAATACCAGCAACAGTGTGTAAACCTTGTGAAGACTTACAGAAAACGTTTGACCTGTGTCATTGCCAACAAAGGGTATATAACAAAGTATTGAGAAACTTTTGTTATTGACCAAATACTTATTTTCCACCATAATTAGCAAATAAATTCATTAAAAATCCTACAATGTGATTTTCTGGATTTTTTTTCTCATTTTGTCTGTCATAGTTGACGTGTACCTATGATGAAAATTACAGGCCTCTCTCATCTTTTTAAGTGAGAGAACTTGCACAATTGGTGGCTGACTAAATACTTTTTTCCCCCATTGTATAGGCTACCCCTTTTTTTCTGATCTGTATAAAAGAGCACATAAGGCCTGCATTAGAAGAAAAAAAAAACATAAGAATTGTAATAATTCTAATTTCTTTAGGCCTAATTGTCTTCATTTCCATGTTAACAAAATAAAGTTTAGTAGCCTTTTCCTGGTCTCATATGTGGTAGGCTATATACAGGATTAGTAACTGTCGCGTTATAACGTGTCCTACCAGGGTACAATCGGAATCCCCTCCCCACACATATTTTATTCATAGGGGTGATATTGCCCCTCCACCATAGCATGATTGAGTCTCCGCCATGTGTATCTCACTAGATCAGGATTTGTAAGCCTCCATATATCTACTAGTTCTAATGTATCCATGACATTCATGATTCCCTTAAGAGCATGAGGGTGATTGTTTGTAGTGTGATTTCCTTTACGATCCATTGAGCTATTTCAAACGGTATTATAATCTCCCACCATAATAATAGAGTCTTGAATTGCTTGCAGGGTTGATCATTTATTATATATATTGTAAAAGAAGTGTGGATCATTATTATTTGGTCCGTAAAGGTTAATGAGCCATATCTGTTTATGGTCCAAAAACATATTTAAAATAATCCATCTGCCTTGCATATCTGTTTGGACAATTTGCACATTCAGATCGAAATTACTGTTAATTAATATCATCACCCCTTTTGAGTTTCTTTGCCCATGGGAGAAGTATATTTCGCCCCCCCCATTCCTTTTCCCACGCAACTTCATCTAGAATTGTTGAATGAGTTTCCTGTAAACAATAGATATTATATTCCTTCTCTTTGAGCCATATAAATATTGTTCTTCTTTTGTTATTATCTGCTAAGCCATTACAATTATAACTGGCTATACTTATTTCACCATATACCATAATGAGATACAAGTTTCAAAACTATTTATCATTATATATGTTTGTAAATTTACCAATAAAAAATACCATAGTGATTGAGTGTCCATATAGCTGTACCATGATATTTGCATTGCTACTAAGTAACCCTCCAATTGTTCTCCACTAATTCCCCCGCTAAAGCCCCTCCCCGTCCCAAGTTGGGCCGTCATCCCACTGATCGGCATACCACCCCCGTCCCTCCGGATCCCTAGGGCCCCGAGAGGCCAGGACCCGTCCATCGAAAACAGCACCACCCACAAAACAGAAGCAGGTCAACCGCCAAAAGCATTTCCAATGCTCTCACCTCAACATATATATATATATATACAGTAGCTATTTAAAAATATATATCTATTCAAATATCTTGCATATCTTATTTTCCAGCATTATCAATTAATATGCGTAATAATGTCGCCAGTTCATGTGTAGGATTTTAACCTATAACCCAGATTGCCATTGTATTACATTACATTTTTGACAAGCAATTATTATTTTAGCAAACAATTATTGTGGTTCATCCTATATTCTCCCTAACATCCTTACCCCCCTTGCAACAGATGTGGGATAAACACACACGCACATACTCTATCACACTCAACCGCTTTCCTCCACAATCAACCATAAAATCAGATGCTCAACGGTTGTTACATCCCAGAGCCCAACTCAAGAAAGGACCTGATTTACGAATGCATACATGAATGCATATACAGTTACAGTTGTTTGAGAAAGCATGCAAGATTGAGCAAAAATTTACAACAATGTGAGATTTGATTAATCTATTTAATCTATGTCAAGTCCTAGGTGATGGAGTTCAGATCCACCCTCTTCACCTGAGACACAAACACTCAGGTCCCCCGTTGTAACCATTTTTCCCAAGCATCTCCGTGCAGTCAGACCTTTGATTATTTTGTGCCACCTGGGCCACAATGATAAGCCCCCTCTCTGATTGTCCGAGTGTGGCCCCCTCCCCATGGGTTACTGCATCCAGTGTTGCCAGCACTGCCACTACCTGGGTGGGGGTACCCCACAGGAATCCCCACCGGCTAGGTACAAGGTCGTCAAGATTCTCATTAGCAGCAGTGAGAATTTCCTTGTATATTATGCTCTCCCATCAGAGGGGTCTGGCTTTGTAGGACCAACCCTGCCAGGCAGGCTCAGAATCTTGAGGGGGCGGTGCTGCTCAAGTAGGTCTCTGACCGCATTTATTTTTCTGTTTTGGCTGCATATAGTCAACTCACAGCAGGTCCATAAAACAGATGAGGACTTCTCTTTGGTGTATGGGTCGCTCAGGTGGGTGTCTAGGATATTTGGTTGGGGATCGTTCCATCATGATTGGACAATAACATTTTTTATATTAGATGTATACTGTATTTTAAAATGTAAATCCCTCATCTGCACAAAATTGAAAGCTCTCTCTCATAACCCCTGCTCACAGACACACGTTGGTTCTGGGATATGCAACCATTTCCTTTCTCAATCACTTAAAGCCACACTTAATCAAGCACAAAAACACACACCATACCTTCCATCACAATTCATCCACACATACCCACATACTGTGCCTTCTATGTCTTCTGTTTGCTATGTTTTTATTTATTGAGTACTTGTGTTCTAATTTAGTTGTATTTGAAGATGTATTATTTTGCTTGTTATCTTTTCTTGTAATACCGTCTTATCCCTTTATAAAATACTATACCTACTATAAATGTGCTTTATTATTACAATCCCTACCATGGCTAGTATTGGGTGTTCCATTATTCGACTATTAGAACTTTCAGAATAGCCATGGAGTAGTCTTTGTGTCGCGGAACATTTGGTTGTCAATATACAGTTTATCGACAACAAGAGCAACACACTTCCCTTTTGATCTATTTTCCTTGAAGATTGGGTAGGGAGACAAAACTTGACATAACCAATGTGACATGAGTTTGTCTCAAGTGCACGCCTCAAATGTAAACATGGGTCCTCATGTATATAAAGTACCTGCCCCCAGCCAAACTACACTGCCAGCGCTACATCCTCCAGCTCTGAAATGACCCTGCTGAACCTGAACCTAAACAACTCCATGTTTCTTTCAACAGGGAGGCAACATCCATGTAGCCTGGGTGTCAGTCTCCATTTGCTTTTAACCAACTTTTTTTGTTGAAAACACAACAGCGTCAGGTACCAAGGTTAAATCCAGTAACAACAGCAACAACAATTATCACCGTTTGACTTTTATCTGCTGTACTATTTCTGTCCGGTGAAAATCCCCACGTTAGGCTAGAGACAGAGGAATTGATAGGCTGCTGTAATGTCCCAATACATAGCTCCAGGATTGATCTGTTTTAATTTATTTTATGGCGGCGCGCCACCATTTTGTCTTTCTTATGCAACCCAGAAATGTGTGAAATATGGCCATGTAACACCTCTTCATCTACTCTCCAGTGACAGTACTACTGCTTCATCCGAGGACAGTGTTCCCATTTTGGGGAACATGGAGTGTTCTTAGTATTGAAGGTGTAGATACACAATCGCAACCTACTACATGCTTGTGTTGGGCATAACTATACTATATTTAAGAAATAAGGCCCGAGGAGGTGTGGTATATGGCCATATACTACAACCCCCCCGCGGTGCCTCATTGCTATTATAAACTGGTTACCAAGGTAAATAGAGCAGTAAAAATATATGATTTGTCATACCCGTGGTATACGATATACCACGGCTGTGAGCCCATCAGCATTCAGGGCTCGAACCACCCGGTTTATAAATCCCCTTTTGGGCCTTCCAGGGAGCACATGCTTCTGTGTTGGCACCACACCTAACAAACAGGCAGTGGCTAAGCCTACTGTGAGTATCATATGATTGATAATAAATCATGGTATCACTAAGAGCCTGCCGTAATGGCGGGATCAGAGTCCCAGTCACGTCCAAGGAACACAAATGGGTTTCCATGGTGAGGTACCCAAACCATTAGGCTTGCATTTAAGATATTATTATGTAACCTTAATAGAATCCCCTGATTAGGACTATCCACCACCCACACCCCTGAGTTTACTAGCATTCTGAGGTATTACGCTGAAAGGAATAGATGGTTTCAGCCTCTACTGTAGTCCACGTTATTAAAGTAGTGATGGTGCTCTGATTGTTTCTACGGATACTTAGGCATCCTGTGTAATCAAAGGAACACGTACACATAGTAATATGATCCCTCATACACAAGTCAGATTCTATTCAATGTATACCTATCAGTGTCAGCATTCAGGAAACACCTCTTGTTCATTGAATCCAGAAACACTTAGAATTAAAGTACTTCCCCACCACAACCACAATGTATGCGTAATCAAATAGCGTGATCCCCTAATGAAATCTAGATTCAAAATACTGTATTTTTCAACAATCACCAGACCTTTAGTAATGATGTTAACACTCTAACATAAACATGTCGAAAGCTTTTTAGAACAACCCCAAACAACGCTGACCGTTTCAATGTACACTCAGCCAATGCTGACTATTTCAGTGTACACTCAGAGAATAACCACGATTGTCTCGGAGGCATCACGTGATTGGTCCGGCGTGCTAGGTTACCTCAGACGGTCTGAGGGGGTTGATTAGTTGGGACCAAATTGAATTCAGGGAGTCAGTCATCATTAAATTAACCAGAGTCCATTTTGTGCCTGACACCCCTTTTCAAATCTCTGCTGACACAGGACATTCAATTTAATGCGCCATTACCCTTTGAAATGCCACTTAATTGTTTAATGTTTTATATCAAATGGCCTCCACTTGAAGCGAAAGCCAACTGTTTCAGGTAGCCCCAAATAAATGTTTAGATTCGGGCTCGCAAAGAGAGTGAGTCAAACCCTATACTACCATAAGCTGTTAAAAATATACAAATGTTTAGGTTGGACTGCAAAGTTATCCCCATCATCATGACATACTAATAAACACATTTGAAGTATGATGGAAACACATTCATTGACGTGTTTGACATGTTTCTGTTCTGTTTCTATATCCACATACAATATACGGATGAACTAGAAGTTTAAATCTTATTTTATTTCCAAACAGTAGAAAATAATGCTGATGATAACGTTACATTAAATAATATTCCTTAAATGTGCTTACATGTCGTTTACCTGTCTTCTACATGTCTTTTACATGTCTTTTACCTGTCTTTTAAATGACTTTTACATGTCTTTTACATGTCTTTTATATGACTTTTACATGTCTTTTACATGTCTTTTACCTGTCTTTTATATGTCTTTTACATGTCTTTTAAATGACTTTTACATGTCTTTTAAATGTCTTTTACATGTCTTTTACATGTCTTTTACCTGTCTTTTACATGTCTTTTACATGACTTTTACATGTCTTTTATATGACTTTTACATGTCTTTTAATTGTCTTTTATATGACTTTTACATGTCTTTTACATGTCTTTTATATGACTTTTACATGTCTTTTACATGTCTTTTATATGACTTTTACATGTCTTTTACATGTCTTTTATATGACTTTTACATGTCTTTTACATGTCTTTTATATGACTTTTACATGACTTTTACATGTCTTTTACCTGTCTTTTATATGACTTTTACATGTCTTTTATATGTCTTTTATATGTCTTATATGTAGCTCAGTTGGTAGAGCAGTTGGTAGAGCATGGCGTTTGCAACGCCAGGGTTGTGGGTTTGATTCCCACGGGGGGCCAGTATGAAAAATACAAAAAATAATGTATGCACTCACTAACTGTAAGTCGCTCTGGATAAGGGCGTCTGCTAAATGACGTAAATGTTTTACATGTCTTTTACATGTCTTTTACCTGTCGTTTACCTGTCTTTTACATGTCTTTTACATGTCTTTTACCTGTCTTTTACGTCTTTTACCTGTCTTTTTACTAGTGTACCATTAGCAGTATACTGTATTAATAGTGCATGTATATAGTATATTAAGTCGTATGACTGTTTATGCTGCTACCTCTTGGCGCCAGCACTCCCTTGAAAAAGAGATTAGTATCTCTGCTACTGTACAGTATGGCATGATGTACTTTAGTATGAATTACTGCAGTACCCATAATGCTCTGTACCAGTTTTATTTTAGCAAAGATGTTCTGACGAAAACATAATGGTATCCCCTCTCCATATTGACACATGGTGTCAGAAGTGGAATACGAAACCACGCCTCCTTACCAATCTCAAGCGGGACTCACCTTGTTGAATAAAGGACAAGTCGAATAAGCTTACCATCAGGGAAGCAGTTGTCAGGATCCATGGTCTCTTCGGCCATCTCCGAATACTCATCCTCTTCCTCCCCTGGCTTCCTCAGATCCACTGTACTGCCCTCTGAAAGGCTGGTGTCATCCTTTACCTGAGGAAAACAACCAATCAGAGCCATGTTAGATGAAAACATACACTACCGTTCAAAAGTTTGGGGTCACTTAGAAATGTCCTTGTTTTCTAAAGAAAATCATTTTTTTGTCCATTAAAATAACATCAAATTGATCAGAAATACAATGTAGACATTGTTAATATTGTAAATGGCTGTTGTAGCTGGAAACGGCTGATTTTTTATGGAATATCTACATCGGCGTACAGAGGCCCATTATCAGCAACCATCAGTCCTGTGTTCCAATGGCACGTTGTGTTTGCTAATCCAAGTTTATCATTTAAAAAAGGCTAATTGATCATTAGAAAACCCTTTTGCAATTATGTTAGCAAGTCAGAAAACTGTTGTGCTGATTAAAGAAGCAATACAACTGGCCTTCTTGAGACTAGTTGAGTATCTGGAGCATCAGCAAATGTGGGTTCGATTACAGGCTCAAAATGGCCAGAAACAAATAACTTTCTTCTGAAACTCGTCAGTCTATTCTTGTTCTGAGAAATGAAGGCTATTCCATGCGAGAAATTGCCAAGAAACTGAAGATCTCATACAAAGCTGTGTACTACTCTCTTCACAGAACAGCGCAAACTAGCTCTAACCAGAATAGAAAGAGTGGAAGGCCCCGGTGCACAACTGAGCAAGAGGACAAATACATTAGAGTGTCTAGTTTGAGAAACAAATGCCTCACAGGTCCTCAACTGGCAGCTTCATTAAATAGTACCAGCAAAACACCAGTCTCAACGTCAACAGTGAAGAGGCGACTCTAAAGATGGAGCCTGTAATCGAAACCACAATTGTCTGGCGACAACTCTGTACTGAGGAGAAGGAATCCTCCGCAATCAACCTTCACAAACCACATCTGAACGGATACAAAGGCACAGGATGAGAGGAGCGGGGAAAAAAGAGCGAGAGAAAACCCCGTATTTACTTCAAAGGCTCATGTTTGCCAAGCTGTAACATCTCAATTTACTGTGAGAGGCCAACAACAAAAATGTGAGCCTCTGACACTGATCTTTTCCTGAATGTAGAGACCAATTTACCTCCATAAGGATAATGATAATGGATCTCATTTGCATATATATAATGCCGGATTGCACTTATTTTCAATATGTCTCAGTGCAATACATTGTTGTAAAGGTAACTCACCCCATCCATGATCAAACAGTCCCAAATGTAGGGAAAATGATGAATAGTTGCACAAAAAAAAAGAAGACACCTGTACACTGTTGAACGCACACGTATACTTTTCCACCAGGTTTTTCGGTCTTCAACAGTGTGTGATTATATACAGGATCTATTTATTTTCTATACAATGGGTGGGTCTAATCCTGAATGCTGATTGGTTAAAACCGCATTCCAGCCGGTGTCCATTCCATTCTATGCACCTGGAAAAATAATGGTTCTACTTTTGAACTAACTATTTGCACCGGGACTCTGTGGACTGTTTCCGGTGTATCGTGGTGTCTGAGGTGAGGTGACAACACCAGAGTCAATAAGACAGTCATGCATAAACACAGAGTAAAGTCTGGGTAGAGAAAGTTCCAGGATGACGAATGTCAGCCTTGGGGATAGTAGAACCCTCAACACTCTCCATCTTTAAATCATTATTTAATTCATATCCTTCATGGCCATGTGTCATTTAAAAGGATGGTTCACCGCAAAACTGAAGTATGACCGATGTTTTTATATTTGTAAAGTGGGCTAAAGTGGAGAACAATCCATTCCTTAATTAATCTATTCTGTAGAATAATTTTTCATTTTGGAATTCTGTATACATTCCCTCCACCCTCAAGGATGCTAGCCTTGGAGAGGCTGAGAGAGACAGATGACTTACCAGTTCAGTAGATGTTCTCAACTGTCCAACACAGCCATACAGCCATTCTGTACAGACAATAAAACGAGGCGGCCCTTCAACAAACAATATTTACTCCAATTTCGCTCTTACATTCTCTGGGCTTTAGAGGATCAGTATTATATTACCGCTGCCAATAACCCAGGAATGCCCGACAAGAACTACAACATCAATCTAAAACCAATACAGTCATTGTCCTGCTCAACTTTATGATTATGAAGCTTTTTTTTGTTTTTCCTCCTAAATTAACAGATAAACCTTTTATGTCATCTCATCTCTTGAGTTTTACTGGTCATGCCATACCTATGTCAGGCTTGTAACAACATATCATCAGATGGACAGTACTGCTCCGCCTGTCATGCGGGCATCCCATGAGCCTTTGTGTTTTACAGAATCGTCGTGCTCAGCTAAGGGGGGTTCTACTGTGACAAGGTCAGCTATGTCTGGTAAAAGCACTGGTGATTGACTCACGAAACCCCACAGTCCTAATACACATACCAGAGGCATTGCCACCCATATGACATACCTATAAATAGCCCCTTTGGAGAGAGAATGGGGAACTAAGCAGAGTTAAACACACGAGTGTGCACAACACAGTCACACACACACACACACACACACACACACACACACACACACACACACACACACATCCCAACTCTATGAAACAGGACTCCCCTGAATGCATGTATAACCATGTGTAGTTGGCAGAAGCCACCTGCAGGGGAGTCTCTTGGCCTCTACGGGGTTAAAGGGGGTTAAGGGTCAGGGGTCATGTACACATGGTGTAGTGTCAGATATTAAAGGGTGGCCGTGAGGTATTCAAGGGGTCCCAAAGAGCGACACAATAAGATAGATGAGAAACTGCCAAAGTAAATGCACTGCTTGAATGACACTCTTCTTGACCTGATTAGCCAAAATTGGAGAGGTACGTTTTATAGAAGGCAAACACTAAGGAGAAGTCTGTAAAGTGGGTATAGTTGGCAGTGTAATATATGGATCAATAAGGAGGTATCTGTAAATGTCAATATGAATGACAACTGTTTCTATCACTACCCATAACACTCTGGGGTGCAGCAAAAATCATCCTCCTGGGGGAGATTCCAACTTCGATACAGCTACGACTTTTACGTTGCAGGTAAGGAGATCTTACACAGCAGGTTAGGAGATCTTACACAGCAGGTTAGGAGAAGTAACGTAGCAGGTTAGGAAAATTAGGTTAAGGTTAGGAAAAGGGTTAGGGGCTAGCGAAAATGCTCTCCTAACCTGCTACTTAAAAGTCACTTGTATCAAAGTGGCGTATTTTAGGAAGTCCCCTCCTGGGGAGCTACCCCCCTGCAGGCTCTTCCCAAACCCTAATCTAACCCACCTGATTCTACTGCTTACAAGGACCTTGATTAGCTGATAAGCTGAATCAGGTGTGCTACAACAGCGTTGGAGCAAAAGCCTGCATACCCATTTCTCCAAGAGGAAGCTTGGCCCCAACCCTTATTTTGACATTTACTTATTAAGAGCCATTGACATGCCAGGAGAAAATCCAAAACCAAAACAATTTCAAGCCTGTTTTCTGTCAATGAGTTATACCAGAAAAAGGTCTCATCTCATCATGTATCCCATTTCCTCATCACTCCTCTGGGATTTTTATTTTTTATTTTTTCTTAGTCATTTAGCAGACGCTCTTATCCAGAGCGACTTACAGTTAGTGAGTGCATACATGTTTTTTTTATTTTTATATACTAGCCCCCTGTGGGAATCGAACCCACAACACTGGCGTTGCAAATGCCATGCTCTACCAACTGAGCTACATCCCTGCCAGCCATTCCCTCCCCTACCCTGGACGACACTGGGCCAATTGTGCGCCGCCCCATGGATCTCCCGGTCGCGGCCGGCTACGGGATCTGAGGCAGCCCCGGTTTTTGCCGTGGTTGCGCTCGGACACAGCTGTGCGGCGTTACACAACCGTTGGTCCCTGGAGGACCCGAGCCTCGGAACCGACACTCATACAGTGAGGGAAAAAAGTATTTGATCCCCTGCTGATTTTGTACGTTTGCCCCCTGACAAAGACATGATCAGTCTATAATTGTAATGGTAGGTTAATTTGAACAGTGAGAGACATAATAAATAAATAAAAATCGTTTATTTGCATTTTAATGAGGGAAATAAGTATTTGACCCCTCTGAAAAACATGACTTAGTACTTGGTGGCAAAACCCTTGTTGGCAATCACAGAGGTAAGACGTTTCTTGTAGTTGGCCACCAGGTTTGCACACATCTCAGGAGGGATTTTGTCCCACTCCTCTTTGCAGATCTTCTCCAAGTCATTAAGGTTTCGAGGCTGACGTTTGGCAACTCGAACCTTCAGCTCCCTCCACAGATTTTCTATGGGATTAAGGTCTGGAGACTGGCTAGGCCACTCCAGGACCTTAATGTGCTTCTTCTTGAGCCACTCCTTTGTTGCCTTGGCCGTGTGTTTTGGGTCATTGTCATGCTAGAATAGCCATCCACGACCCATTTTCAATGCCCTGGCTGAGGGAAGGAGGTTCTCACCCAAGATTTGACGATACATGCCCCCGTCCATTATCCCTTTGATGCGGTGAACTTGTCCTGACCCCTTAGCAGAAAAACACCCGCAAAGCAAAATGTTTCCACCTCCATGTTTGACGGTAGGGATGGTGTTCTTGGGGTCATAGACAGCATTCCCCCTCCTCCAAACACGGCGAGTTGAGTTGATGCCAAAGAGCTCGATTTTGATCTCATCTGACCACAACACTTTCACCCAGTTCTCCTCTGAATCAATCAGATGTTCATTGGCAAACTTCAGACAGCCCTGTATATGTGCTTTCTTGAGCAGGGGGACCTTGCGGGCGCTGCAGGATTTCAGTCCTTCATGGCGTAATGTGTTACCAATTGTTTTCTTGGTGACTATGGTCCCAGCTGCCTTGAGATCATTGACAAGATCCTCCTGTGTAGTTCTGGGCTGATTCCTCACCGTTCTCATGATCATTGCAACTCCACGAGGTAAGATCTTGCATGGAGCCCCAGGCCGAGGGACAGGTCTTTTGTGTTTCTTCCATTTGCGAATAATAGCACCAACTGTTGTCACCTTCTCACCAAGCTGCTTGGCGATGGTCTTGTAGCCCATTCCAGCCTTGTGTAGTTCTACAATCTTGTCCCTGACATCCTTGGAGAGCTCTTTGGTCTTGGCCATGGTGGAGAGTTTGGAATCTGATTGATTGATTGCTTCTGTGGACAGGTGTTTTTTATACAGGTAACAAACTGAGATTAGGAGCATTCCCTTTAAGAGTGTGCTCCTAATCTCAGCTCGTTACCTGTATAAAAGACACCTGGGAGCCAGAAATCTTTCTGATTGAGAGGGAGTCAAAAATTTATTTCCCTCATTAAAATGCAAATCAATTTATATAACATTTTTGACATGCGTTTTTCTGGATTTTTTTGTTGTTATTCTGTCTCTCACTGTTCAAATAAACCTACCATTAAAATTATAGACTGATCATTTCTTTGTCAGTGGGCAAACATACAAAATCAGCAGGGGATCAAATAATTTTTTCCCTCACTGTACCTCTCACTTTCTGCTCTTCTCCATGACAACGACACATTGCTGCCCGTGATGTTTGTACCCCTGATACAGTTGAAGTCGGATGTTTACATACACTTAGGTTGGAGTCATTAAAACATGTTTTTCAACCACTCCACACATTTCTTGTTAACAAATTATAATTTTGGCGAGTCGGTTAGGACATCTACTTTGTGCATGACACAAGTAATTTCTCCAACAGTTGTTTACAAACAGAATATTTCACTTATAATTCACTGCATCACAATTCCAGTGGGTCAGAAGTTTACATCCACTAAGTTGACTGTGCCTTTAAACAGCTTGGAAAATTCCAGAAAATGATGTCATGTCTTTAGAAGCTTCTGATAGGCTAATTGACATCATTTGAGTCAATTGGAGGTGTACCTGTCGATGTGTTTCAAGGCCTACCTTCAAACTCAGTGCCTATTTGCTTGACATCATGGGAAAATCAAAAGAAATCAGCCAAGACCTCAGAAAAAAAATTGTAGACCTCCACAAGTCTGGTTCATCCTTGGGAGCAATTTCCAAACGCCTGAAGGTACCACGTTCATCTCTACAAACAATGGTACGCAAGTATAAACACCATGGGACCACGCAGCCGTCATACCGCTCAGGAAGGAGACGCGTTCTGTCTCCTAGAGATGAAAGTACTTTGGTGCGAAAAGTGCAAATCAATCCCAGAACAACAGCAAAGGACCTTGTGAAGATGCTGGAGGAAATGGGTACAAAAGTATCTATATCCACAGTAAAACGAGTCCTATATCGACATAACCTGAAAGGCCGCTCAGCAAGGAAAAAGCCACTGCTCCAAAACCTGCATTAAAAAACCTGACCACGGTTTGCAACTGCACAAGGTGACAAAGATCGCACTTTTTGGAGAAATGTCCTCTGGTCTGATGAAACAAAAATATAACTGTTTGGCCATAATGACCATCGTTATGTTTGGAGAAAAAAGGGGGACGCTTGCAAGCCAAAGAACACCATCCCAACCGTGAAGTACGGGGGTGGCAGCATAATGCTGTGGGGGTGCTTTGCTGCAGGAGGGACTGGTGCACTTCACAAAATAGATGGCATCATGAGGAAGGAAAATTATGTGGATATATTGAAGCAACATCTCAAGACATCAGTCAGGAAGTTAAAGCTTGGTCGTAAATGGGTCTTCCAAATGGACAATGACCCCAAGCATACTTCCAAAGTTGTGGCAAATTGCTTAAGGACAACAAAGTCAAGGTATTGGAGTGGCCATCACAAAGCCCTGACCTCAATCCTATAGAACATTTGTGGGCAGAACTGAAAAAGCGTGTGCGAGCAAGGAGGCCTACAAACCTGACTCAGTTACACCAGCTCTGTCAGGAGGAATGGGCCAAAATTCACCCAACTTATTGTGGGAAGCTTGTGGAAGGCTACCCGAAACGTTTGACCCAAGTTAAACAATTTAAAGTCAATGCTACCAAATACTAATTGAGTGTATGTAAACTTCTGACCCACTTTGAATGTGATGAAAGAAGTAAAAGCTGAAATAAATCATTCTCTCTACATTTCACATTCTTAAAATAAAGTGGTGATCCTAACTGACCTAAAACAGGGACTTTTTACTAGGATTAAATGTCAGGAGTTGTGAAAAACTGAGTTTAAATGTATTTGGCTAAGGTGTATGTAAACTTCCGACTTCAACTGTACGTACTACTACGCCACTTAGAATGGATGGCCAATACATTCAGTAGCTTCATTTCATGCTATTACTTTGGTAATCAGAAAGTTTGAAATTACTGAACTGTGAATTGCCAATAACGTGAAAATTGTATAATTTACTAGCACTGAAATGAACATGATTGAAAGTTTAAACTAGTTTACTAGTTAAACCCAATCAAATCACAAGTTCTATCTGGAGCATGCTGAGGTATTTCCCGTTGGGTTTAGCAGAAGTAAAAGTGAAGCACAATGGCAGGAAGTGTAGCACTGTAACGTGAGCATGGTCTCTCTATGTTTAGCTCCACACTCATTTTAACAGGATTAGCTTTGCACAATAACCTTGTTAGTGGGATAATCAACATAGGCTTCCCGCTAATACAATATCAAGTCATTAGCGACGGAGTTGACTTTACAAGCTATGCTTATGATGTACAATGAATCAATGGTCAACAACAGCTCCAGGCACTACAAAAACGTACACACGAGCACGTACACACACACACACACACGCGCGCGCACGTACACACACACTCACACACACACACACACACACACACACACACTCACGTACACACACACACTCACGTACACACACACACTCACATACACACACGCACACGTACACACACCTACACTCACATACACACTCACACACTCACATACACACACACACTCACATACACACACACGTACACACACACACACACACACTCACATACTTACACACTCACGTACACACACACTCACATACACACTCAAATACGCACGTAAACACTCACATACGCACGTACACACTCACACACGCACGTACACACTCACACACGCACGTACACACACACACACTCACATACACTTACACACTCACATACACACACACGCACACACACACACACACTCACATATACACTCACACAAACACTCACATACACACACACACTCACATACACACACACACACTCACACTCACAAACACACACACATACGCTTATCACACACATATACACACCCTACCCTCCGAGGTGTAAAAAGTGGTCCGGGGCTTGGCCCCTGTGTGTGATGAATCAGACAGACAGGCTGTTGACTGAGAAAGAGGTAAGGTGGGGGTCAGAGGTTAAAACATGGCATCTACATTTTCCCAGTCTTTCAACCGGCAGTGGCATAACAGCTCATATAGGAGATTTGTCCGGGTCTGTTGTTCTCTCACAACCCCCCAGCCACACTTTGACGTTAAGGAGTTGTGACTGCCTCCGCTGCACATACTCTCCACAGCAAAAACTAGAGCAGAGACGCTTTGTTTTCAGCTGCTAACCTAATTTATATGGAACTCTTCATTTCCAATGTTTTAGATGATTCTTAATTTTTTTACAATGGAAAACATACACGTACATACGACTACAGTCGTGGTCAAAAGTTTTGAGAATGACACAAATATAAATTTTCATAAAGTCTGCTGCCTCAGTTTTTATGATGGCAATTTGCATATACTCCAGAATGTTATGAAGAGCCATCAGGTGAATTGCAATTAATTGCAAAGTCCCTCTTTGCCATGAAAATGAACTTAATCCCAAAAAAACATTTCCACTGCATTTCAGCCCTGCCACAAAAGGACCAGCTGACATCATGTCAGTGATTCTCTCGTTAACACAGGTGAAAGTGTTGACGAGGACAAGACTGGAGATCACTCTGTCATGCTGATTGAGTTAGAATAACAGACTGGAAGCTTTAAAAGGAGGGTGATGCTTGAAATCATTGTTCTTCCTCTGTTAACCATGGTTACCTGCAAGGAAACACGTGCCGTCATCATTGCTTTGCACAAAAAGGGCTTCACACGCAAGGATATTGCTGCTAGTAAGATTGCACCTAAATCAACCATTTATCAGATCATGAAGAACTTCAAGGAGAGAGGTTCAATTGTTGTGAAGAAGGCCGTCTCCTAAAGTTGATTCAGCTGCGGGATCGGGGCACAACCAGTGCAGAGCTTGCTCAGGAATGGCAGCAGGCAGGTGTGAGTGCATCTGCATGCACAGTGAGGTGAAGACTTTTGGAGGATGGCCTGGTGTCAAGAAGGGCAGCGAGGAAGCCACTTCTCTCCAGGAAAAACATCAGGGACAGACTGATATTCTGCAAAAGGTACAGGGCTTGGACTGCTGAGGACTGGGGTAAAGTAATTTTCTCTGATGAATCCCCTTTCCGATTGTTTGGGGCATCCGGAAAACACTTTGTCCGGAGAAGACAAGGTGAGCGCTACCATCAGTCCTGTGTCATGCCAACAGTAAAGCATCCTGAGACCATTCATGTGTGGGGTTGCTTCTCAGCCAAGGGAGTGGGCTCACTCACAATTTTGCCTAAGAACACAGCCATGAATAAAGAATGGTACCAACACATCCTCCGAGAGCAACTTCTCCCAACCATCCAAGAACAGTTTGGTGACGAACAATGCCTTTTCCAGTATGATGGAGCACCTTGCCATAAGGCAAAAGTGATAACTAAGTGGCTCGGGGAACAAAACATTGGCATTTTGGGTCCATGGCCAGGAAACTCCCCAGACCTTAATCCCATTAAGAACTTGTGGTCAATCCTCAAGAGGCGGGTGGACAATTGAAAACCCACAAATTCTGACAAACTCCAAGCTTTGATTATGCAAGAATGGGCTGCCATCAGTCAGGATGTGGCCCAGAAGTTAATTGACAGCATGCCAGGGCGGATTGTAGAGGTCTTGAAAAAGAAGGGTCAACACTGCAAATATTGACTCTTTGCATAAACTTAATGTAATTGTCAATAAAAGCCTTTGACACTTATGGAATGTTTGTAATTATACTTCAGTATACCTTAGTAACATCTGACAAAAATATCTAAAAACACTGAAGCAGCAAACTTTGTGAAGACCAATACTTGTGTCATTCTCAAAAACGACTGTACATAAACATCCACAACATCACCACCTGCCCTGTTTTGAATGTTTCTGATGAACCTTTATGTGCTAACTAATGTTTCAGGGCAACATTCTCTCTCGCTGCCCTTTTCCCGACAAGGGATAGCGACAGGCACACATCTGAGGCCACGGTTACATTAATAGATGCAGATGGTCGATTTTTATGCCATGTTTTCCCTTGTGGGTCAAATCCACGTATGCATGGGAAAACTGGCTAGGGGAATGGACGGAACGGCACACCACCATGATAATATACACAGTGAGCAACAGCAAACGTTTATGGAACATTTCACAAATGTGGAAACCTGATATATCCTCCATGGGAGACATCTATAGAACCGGTTGTTGAGAGAGGCAGGTGTAGGGAAAGATAAAACAGAGTGAGTGGGTGGACGGGCAGGTGTACGAAGATGGAGTGAGTGAAGAGATAAGAGAGAAAGAGAGAACAAGGGAAGGTGAGAAGACAGGTGCGTAGTAAGATTAAAGCAGGTGGGCAAGATGTGACCGCTCACTTAAAACTAATTGGAGCACAGGTGTGCAAAGAGACAAACCAGTCAGCTCTGTTTACCTGTTGGTAATGCTGTATCATGTTCCCATAAACATTTACAAACTGTTCTATATACGATTGCAAATCATGTAGTACACACCGGTGGTAGGCCGAGCCCTCTCTCCCTCTCTCAACTATTTTAACAAGTTAAATTACAGTTTTACATTTATTCAAGGAGCCTGGCTCATTTCACATGCCTCCTTATCAATATAAATGAATATTTGAAAGTAACCCTAACCCCCAGACAACAAAGTAACGTCACACAATCTATCTTTAAATCGTCCCATTTTAATGGATGCAGACACAGTGTGACGAGTACTGAGGATACGAAGAGGCAGGACGAAGACGCAGGAATGAACAATGTAAAGGTTTACTTAACACTGAGCAAGAGAACAACAAAGAGAGCGAGTACACGACAAGACACTAACAAACACACACAACCCAACACTGAACAGTCCAGGGCTATATAGGCGTGGTGATGAGATGATGAGGTGCAGGTGCGCAGGAGGTGATTAGGGTGCGTTGGGTTTCCATTCCGGTGTTGTCGAGGTGGTGCGCTCAGACCGGTGGCTCAGTAGACTGGCGAATCAGAGCGCCGGAGGGGAGCAACGGGAGGAGACGTGACACACAGACACTGTCAAGTGAAAAACAAATGCAGGCAAACAAATGCACTTTGCCCTTAAGGATCTAATTCCATATTCCTGATTGGGCGGAAATATAGAGGGCCATTGTTACCAAATGGAAGAAGGACCCAATTGCCAAAATAGTAGTATACATCTTTAGAAAGGGGTAAAATTGGACAGGGTATCCATTTTGGGAAGAGTCCGCTCTGGGCCAAATTACACTGGAGGAAAATAGCCTTTGTGCGTGGGTTTGAAGCGGCTCACTTCAGACGGAGAGAGGGATAGAGAGGGAGAGAGAGGGAGAGAGGGGGGGGGGGGGGTGAGAGGGAGAGAGAGAGTGGGGGAGAAAGAGGGAGAGAGAGAGACAGAGAGAGAGACAGAGAGAGAGGGATGGAGTGAGGGAGGAGGGAGGAGAGCATGAGAGATAGAGGGAGCAAGAAAGAGAGAAGGCTTTTCTCTCTCCATCTAAGGCGCTCTCTCCAGTCTTTCCAACAGGCAGTTATTAGCCTGGCTAAGCAACCTCTCAGGCCAGAGAGAGAGAGAAAGATATGAGAGAGAGAGAGAGAGAGAGAGAGAGAGAGAGAGAGAGAGAGAGAGAGAGAGAGAGAGAGAGAGAGAGAGAGAGAGAGAGAGAGAGAGAAGAGAGAGAGAGAGAGAGAGAGAGAGATAGAGATAGAGATAGAGATAGAGATAGAGAGATAGAGAGAGTGAGGACTAGAATAATTCATTAATCTATCTGATCCTCAATTAGTAGACACAATAAACAGCACAGTTCTACCATTTCATGAGCGAGCCAATGTAAGAGACAAGCACACATGACAATGTTTACGCTGCTGCTACTCTGTTAAGTATTTATGCATAGTCACTTTAACTCTACCCACATGTACATATTACCTCAACTACCTCAACTAGCCGGTGCCCCCGCACATTGACTCTGCAACGGTACCCCCCTGTATATATAGCCTCCCTACTGTCACTTTATTTTACTTCTGCTCTTTTTTTTTCTCAACACTTTTTTTTGTTGTTGTTTTATTTTTTTTACTTTTTTTGTTTAAAATAAATGCACTGTTGGTTAAGGGCTGTAAGTAAGCATTTCACTGTAATGTCTGCACCTGTTGTATTCGGCGCATGTGACCAATAAAATTTGATTTGATTTGATTTGATTTGATTTGATGGGCAAATGGCGTCCTGCGGGCCACAGGCCCTCAGATCAATAAATGTTTTAAATGTAAAAAGATACAGAACCAGTCAAAAGTTTGGACACACCTACTCATTCAAGGGTTTTTCTATATTTGTGTGTGCAAAGCAGTCATCAAGACAAAGGGTGGCTACTTTAAAGAATCTCAAATGTAAAATATATTTTGATTTGTTTAACACTTTTTTGGTTATGTGTTATTTCACAATGTAGAAAATAGTACAAATTAAGAAAAACCCTGGAATGAGTAGGAGTGTCCAAACTGTTGACTGGTACTGTATATATACTGTATATATATTTTTGAAACTTAGTCGGGGTCTCAACTTACTGTTGCAAGTTTGAATAGTAGAATACGCAAGTTGCAATTTCGAAATGTTGTTGTGCATTAAACATTTTTCTCTTGTTATGTCAGTCACTGATAGTCACTCAATTAGCCCATGTCAGCTATCTTTATTTTTTATTGGTAAGTTAGTTAGTAGACTTAGTAATCATGTTCGAATTACCATCCGGGGGGGCCCCATGGATTTTGTTCGTCAGTCTCACTCAGATATCATATTAAAAACTACAAACATTCTCTCCACCCTATGTCAAAATGTGTAGAATTGCATGAAATTAATTATAAAATTGCAAAATCTTCTTCCCTGCCACATAGCAAAATGTGTAGAATTGCAGCAAACTTGCTTTAAAACTGCAATATATTCTCTACACACAATGGCAAAATGTGTATGCACGAAATGAACACTAAAACTTACAAAATGTCTCTCCGCTGTCAAGAAGGGGGCTGCTAAAATGTTTTGCTTGCAATGTGGTGGGGGGTTATGCACATTTGGGTACGCAGACCCGCGATCAACTGCAGATTTTTTGTGGCTCCCACCCCCATCAAAGTTGCCCATCCCCATGCTGTAGAATGAAAAAATACCAACTCTGTCATGATTCCATACCTTCCAGCAGTCTGCACTCTGGAGTCAATCACTAATTAAAGATGTAGTCCGGGATCTTAAGCATTTACAAATTCGTAACATATTGTACGAATTAGAATTCGGAACATATCATACGAATTGGAATTTATCTTTTATTTTTTAATTTTTTTGCAGTACGTAACATATCATACAAAATGGATGGACGTAGAATACAATTCTGCACAATTTTCGGGGCCCCATTTTTGCTCATGAGCAATACTTGCAAAACTACTGGCTGAAATGATACAAAACCTCTGGAGCATCACTATAAAGTAGACAATATTAGCCTTACTAACCAGGTTTCCATCCAACCTTCTTATGCGCGTAAAGTACAAAAATATAACGACAGGCCTGATTGAAACAGCAAATTTCGACAAAATAAAATATGCCAGACAAGGTGGGATCTTTTTGTGTCTGTAAAATGATTTATGCGAGAAATGACGATGGAAGCGCTTTTATGCACAAAATATTAATATGATAACCATCATATATCGAAGTAAACTTGGAGTCACTTGATGACATGTTGTGTGGTCCTTCCACTACGACTCGGGAGGACATGCAGTTTATTAGGCTACTGATCAAAGAAGTTATGATGAACTACACAGGGTGGTGAAAGTGAAAGGTGATGAGCTTGATGCTCCTTTCCAATAAATAGCACTACACAGCTGATTCAAATAATGAAAGCTTGATGATGAGTTGGTTATTTGAATCAGCTGTGTAGTGCTCGGGGTTGCTATAAAACGCAACCTTTTTGTGTGACAAAACCATCTGTAGAGTTGAAAACGCGATGGAAACCCATTTAACTTGTATTTTTTATTCAGTACAGGGGAATTTAACCGCAAAAGTTACCACGTCATCACGCAAAGCCTTTTATCCGCAACAAGTCAATTGTTTTAATGCAGATTTTAGAATATTCGTATGAAAATATTTCGCCAGTTGGGTGGAAACCTAGCTTATGATGAGATAACAATATCTTAATGGCTCGTATCGCAAAGATGCAACTGATATTGTTATAGACTTTCCAGTTTCAGTACACATCACTACCACCAACCCATCCTACCTGCTTGCTCTCTTCCTCCTCTTCCTCCTCCTCCTCCTCCGAGCTCTCGCTCTCATCCTCATCTTCATCATCCTCCTCGGGGAACTCCACATCTGACTCGCCAGAAGCGATGGGCACACTGATGGTCAGATTGGGGTTGGTCATGTAGCTGTCATCCACCTCCGGGACCATAATCTGCTCTCCGTGGCGCCCGATCACCCCGATCCCTCCCCCCACCGTCACCGCTGTCCCGTTGCCCACCTCGCCAAGCGGAGCACCGTGGCTCAGCCTCTTGAGCTTCAGCATGGCCTTTGTTTCTTTGCTCTTCTGCCGTCGCCGCTTGAAGTTGCCGTTGAAGTAGTCGCAGATCTACAATGAAGTAATGAACTACGTTTAGAAGATGTGATGAACTTGTATTTTTGCATGTATTTGAATTTTTTGTGTGATTAATTTGTTTGTTTGGTTGTTATTGGTTGTTTTATTTTGCCCCATAGTACATTTCGTGTCATATCTTACCTTGAATCTATGTAATTGTCCACACTATATAGTAAAAAAAAAGTAGATCATAATTATTAAATAAAAAACAAATCCAACCTGGCTTCGGAGCCAGCCCATGCCGCTTTTGATGCGGCCAAGAGCGATCTGCAGGTTGTTCATCTCGCCATCGTCATCGGGCGCCGAGAGGTTGTCCGAGCTGAACGAACTGAGCAGCAAGGCTAGGAAGAGGTTGAGTACCTGGGAGGAGGAGAGAGGGAGATTAGTTTGAATAAAGCCTTGTCCTTCTGTTTAGTATGACTGGAGTCATTAAGATGTTATTACTTTCACGTTGATTGAAAACTTAGTCACAAACAACATTATCTTAAAGTAAACCATACAGCTGGATAAAAAGACTAGATAAAGCTAGCATGCAGGTTTGGTTCCTGTAAGCGGGAGCGTTGAGGCAGTGTGGACGGTGAGGGGCCAGATGTGTAACACTAGAAATGTAAACAGCAGGAGTGATTTGGGCCCGGTATAAATGTCAGCCTCCAACAGGAACCGGAGATCTCCATGTTAAACAAGAGAACCTACTCCTCTGGGTTGTAGTGCTGTGTGGTTTTAGTGTGTGTGTGTGTATGTGTGAGTGTGTGTCTATGCATCCGTGCTTGTGTTCGTGCCTGCCTGCATTTGCAGATGCATGTGTGCGTGAAAGTGTGTGCGCTTGTTTGATTAAAGTGCACACAGCAACCATGGTCCCTTAGACACAGGGCCACTTTTCCTCAGTTTAGTAAATGTCAACTGTGCATGCAGTTTCATCATAGAATTTAATTACCATTGTGTAATGATTACAAACATCATTTTGTAGTCAAATTGAGATATTTTCCATATCCTGACATGAGCTTCATAAATGAAACCCTTTCTGTGATTTGATAGAGCCTATCAAAGTAACATTACACATTTTCCCCAGGGGCCACATTCGGTCTACAATGCACTTAAAGTTAGTTATATTTCCTCCACGTCGTATGTTTGACACCCCTGTCCTAGACCTAAAATGCATTGTTTACCTGAGACGGTTCTCTCTCTGTTTCTCCAACGGCTCATAGCTGTTGTAGCAACACATCAATCAAATCAATCCAAATCAATTAATTATCATGTCATTCATCTGTTTCTTGATAACCGTCCATTCTGCAGCCAGCATCAATCAAAGTTGACAATGTTGTATGGTTCTGAGATGCATCCATATGTGTGTGTGTGCATGCGTGTGTGTTTGAGGATGGGAGTTGGAGGCGACGCAGCCCTGGACTGGACCCCCTTTGCCTGCCCCTCTCCACCCCCTATGCCCCGTGCCCGTCTCGCCATGCCTGGTGCCCGCTGTGACAGGTGTAATTAGGTGTCTGGCTTTTCTATTTTCTGCTCTGCTACACTTGTCCTTTAAAACACACCGTCCATGCCATCCTGCCATCTGAGAGAGTGATGCAGCAAAACACCATGTTGTCCACTGAATCACCACATCTTGCTTCCAACCATTAAATTATTTCAGGGCAAGAAGAGGTGTCTTAGGATGTAGGCTGATTTTGGGATGAGGCTTTTTAGGTTTGCAGGATGAGGTTGACCTTAGAAAATATGGACATTCAGATCTACACCCAACACTCCCCCATGGAGAATCCACAGGAGACACATCATAGAAGCTCCTCCATAAACACCTCATATCTTATCCCATATAGCCCAAGGAGCCCACTGTGCTGCGCTGGGCAGATGATTACGTGTCAAATCGCAACACTCGCCTCGCATGTTGATATGTTATGTTTGTCGCCAGGTGATTGCTGGCACACCTATCCAGGATATAACCTTGGCTCCTAAATGGCCCTGATCAGCCATAAGCTGCTTTATCATGATTCATGTATATATGGCGTAGTCGGCTGCTTTACCATGGTAATAAATATATATGTCATAGTCGGCTGCTTTACCATGATTATAAATATATATATGGCATAGTCGGCTGCTTTACCATGATTATAAATATATATGGCATAGTCGGCTGCTTTACCATGGTTATAAATATATATAGCATAGTCGGCTGCTTTATCATGATTATAAATACAGTGGGGGGGAAAAAGTATTTAGTCAGCCACCAATTGTGCAAGTTCTCCCACTTAAAAATATGAGAGAGGCCTGTAATTTTCATCATAGGTACACATCAACTATGACAGACAAATTGAGAATTTTTTTCTCCAGAAAATCACATTGTAGGATTTTTTATGAATTTATTTGCAAATTATGGTGGAAAATAAGTATTTGGTCACCTACAAACAAGCAAGATTTCTGGCTCTCACAGACCTGTAGCTTCTTCTTTAAGAGGCTCCTCTGTCCTCCACTCGTGACCTGTATTAATTGCACCTGTTTGAACTTGTTATCAGTATAAAATACACCTGTCCACAACCTCAAACAGTCACACTCCAAACTCCACTATGGCCAAGACCAAAGAGCTGTCAAAGGACACCAGAAACAAAATTGTAGACCTGCACCAGGCTGGGAAGACTGAATCTGCAATAGGTAAGCAGCTTGGTTTGAAGAAATCAACTGTGGGAGCAATTATTAGGAAATGGAAGACATACAAGACCACTGATAATCTCCCTCGATCTGGGGCTCCACGCAAGATCTCACCCCGTGGGGTCAAAATGATCACAAGAACGGTGAGCAAAAATCCCAGAACCACACGGGGGGACCTAGTGAATGACCTGCAGAGAGCTGGGACCAAAGTAACAAAGCCTACCATCAGTAACGCACTACGCCACCAGGGACTCAAATCCTGCAGTGCCAGACGTGTCCCCCTGCTTAAGCCAGTACATGTCCAGGCCCGTCTGAAGTTTGCTAGAGTGCATTTGGATGATCAAGAAGAGGATTGGGAGAATGTCATATGGTCAGATGAAACCAAAATAGAACTTTTTGGTAAAAACCCAACTCGTCGTGTTTGGAGGACAAAGAATGCTGAGTTGCATCCAAAGAACACAATACCTACTGTGAAGCATGGGGGTGGAAACATCATGCTTTGGGGCTGTTTTTCTGCAAAGGGACCAGGACGACTGATCCGTGTAAAGCAAAGAATGAATGGGGCCATGTATCATGAGATTTTGAGTGAAAACCTCCTTCCATCAGCAAGGGCATTGAAGGGCATTGAAGATGAAACGTGGCTGGGTCTTTCAGCATGACAATGATCCCAAACACACCGCCCGGGCAACGAAGGAGTGGCTTCGTAAGAAGCATTTCAAGGTCCTGGAGTGGCCTAGCAAGTCTCTTGATCTCAACCCCATAGAAAATCTTTGGAGGGAGTTGAAAGTCTGTGTTGCCCAGCGACAGCCCCAAAACATCACTGCTCTAGAGGAGATCTGCATGGAGGAATGGGCCAAAATACCAGCAACAGTGTGTGAAAACCTTGTGAAGACTTACAGAAAACGTTTGACCTGTGTCATTGCCAACAAAGGGTATATAACAAAGTATTGAGAAACTTTTGTTATTGACCAAATACTTCTTTTCCACCATAATTTGCAGATAAATTCATTAAGATTATTTTTTCTCATTTTGTCTGTCATAGTTGACGTGTACCTATGATGAAAATTACAGGCCTCTCTCATCTTTTTAAGTGGGAGAACTTGCACAATTGGTGGCTGACTAAATACTTTATTTCTCCACTGTATATATAGAACATAATCTGCTCAACCCTCCTCCTCCAACCTCAATCCACCCCATTTTTTACATTTACATTTTAGTCATTTAGCAGACGCTCTTATCCAGAGCGACTTACAGTTACATTATTTTATTTTTTAATTTTTCATACTGGACCCCCGTGGGAATCGAACCCACAACCCTGGCGTTGCAAGCGGCATGCTCTACCAACTGAGCTACATCCCTGCCGGCCATTCCCTCCCCTACCCTGGACGACGCTGGGCCAATTGTGCACCGCCTCATGGGTCTCCCGGTCGCGGCCGGCTACGACAGAGCCTGGATTCGAACCAGGATCTCTAGTGGCACGGCTAGCACTGTGATGCAGTGCCTTAGACCACTGTGCCACTCGGGAGGCAACCCCAACGGTGTTACTATGAAATCCCCCCCCACGGAATTACCAACGGGTAATAACATTTAAACTGAAGTGCTATAATGCTATGATAAACCTTATAGGCTAATAGGATTTTATTTTCCAGACCAATGTCAAATTGGTTATTATAATGAATGTGTCCTTTTTTAAAATCAATTTGTATTGCATGGCTACTGTAGCCTATAGCCTGGGATAGGATAAAGTAATCCTTCTACCCCCCCTTACCCCACCCCAAAGAAAAAAAATAAATAAAATAAAATGGTTGTAAAGTGGTTATCCCACTGGCTATGAGGTGAATGCACCAATTTGTAAGTCGCTCTGGATAAGAGCGTCTGCTAAATGACGTAAATGTAAATGTAAATGTATAGGAGAAAAGAATGACTGTACATCCAACTTGATTAGCAGATATATTCTCAATTCCCAATGGGATTAATAGGAACTCACAAACACCTTGTGAATACAGAGGGTTGATTCCCATGGGATGCTCTTCATTTGGTGATGAGTCAGCCAGTCATTCAGCCAGTCAGTCAAAAAGTCAGTCAAGACACACAGATTTGCGCATTGGCACACACAAAGACACAGGGCGGGTTTAGGGTCATTAAATACTGTGTGGATGAAGGGCAGGTAGGTGGCAGGCGGGTTGAATAAAGAGAAAACAATACCTTAAAAATCCATAAATATATAATTATTGTGCAATTTATATCTATAAGGAAACATATAATGACTGAAGAGAAGCTGTATGTACAGTTGAAGTCGGAAGTTTACATACACTTAGGTTGGAGTCATTCAAACTTGTTTTTCAACCACTCCACACATTTCTTGTTAAAAACTATAGTATTGGCAAGTCGGTCAGGACATCTATTTTGTGCATGACACAAGTAATTTTTCCAACAATTGTTTACAGACAGATATTTCACTTACAATTCACTGTATCACAATTCCAGTGGGTCAGAAGTTTACATACACTAAGTTGACTGTGCCTTTAAAGAGCTTGGAAAATTCCAGAAAATGATGTCATGGCTTTAGAAGCTTCTGATAGGCTAATTGACATCATTTGAGTCAATTGGAGGTGTACCTGTGGATGTATTTCAAGGCCTACCTTCAAAGTCAGTGCCTCTTTGCTTGACATCATGGGTAAATCAAAAGAAATCAGCCAAGACCTCAGAAAAATGAATTGTAGACCTCCACAAGTCTGGTTCATCCTTGGGAGCCATTTCCAAACGCCTGAAGGTACCACGTTCATCTGTACAAACAATGGTACGCAAGTATAAACACCATTGGACCACGCAGCCGTCATACCGCTCAGGAAGGAGACGCGTTCTGTCTCCTAGAGATGAACGTACTTTGGTGCGAAAAGTGCAAATCAATCCCAGAACAACAGCAAAGGACCTTGTGAAGATGCTGGAGGAAACAGGTACAAAAGTATCTATATCCACAGTAAAACGAGTCCTATATCGACATAACCTTAAAGGCCACTCAGCAAGGAAGAAGCCACTGCTCCAAAACCGTCATATAAAAGCCAGACTACGGTTTGCAACTACACATGTGGACAAAGACCGTACTTTTTGGAGAAATGTCCTCTGGTCTGATGAAACAAAAATAGAACTGTTTGGCCATAATGACCATTGTTATGTTTGGAGGAAAAAGGGGGACGCTTGCAAGCCAAAGAACACCATCCCAACCGTGAAGAACGGGGGTGGCAGCATCATACTGTGGGGGTGCTTTGCTGCAGGAGGGACAGGTGTACTTCACAAAATAGATGGCATCATGAGGAAGGAAAATGATATGGATATATTGAAGCAACATCTAAAGACATCAGTCAGGAAGTTAAAGCTTGGTCGCAAATGGGTCTTCCAAATGGACAATGACCCCAAGCATACTTCCAAAGTTGTGGCAAAATGGCTTAAGGACAGCAAAGTCAAGGTACTGGAGTGGCCATCACAAAGCCCTGACCTCAATCCTATAGAAAATGTGTGGGCAGAACTGAAAAAGCGTGTGCGAGCAAGGAGGCCTACAAACCTGACTCAGTTACACCAGCTCTGTCAGGAGGAATGGGCCAAAATTCACCCAACTTATTGTGGAAAGCTTGTGGAAGGCTACCCGAAAGGTTTGACCCAAGTTGAACAACTTAAAGGCAATGCTACCAAATACTAATTGAGTGTATGTAAACTTCTGACCCACTGGGAATGTGATGAAAGAAATAAAAGCTGAAATAAATAATTATCTCTACTATTATTCTGACATTTCACATTCTTAAAATAAAGTGGTGATCCTAACTGACCTAAGACAGGGAATTTTTACTAGGATTAAATGTCAGGAATTGTGAAAAACTGAGTTTAAACGTAGTTGGCTGTCAGAGTGGTGTGTGTAGATGAGTGGAAAGGAATCAAGCGCAGGAACCAGGATGACTTCAACCGTCTTTTATATATACGTTCAACACGTGAACCCAAAAATAGTCGCCAACCCAACCGGGTGGCGCAAAACAATTACGCACAAAACACGGTGCGAAATACACAAGAAAAGCGCACGCAGTGCGAACTCTCGGGACAAGCCAACAACGAGAGAAAGGTATCCTTACAGAGGCAGTCTGACAAAAACAATCACGCATAACACCTGACCCACACACACGAAACTAAATAGGGAAACAATTAAGACACAAATAAGGGACAGGTGTTATGAACAGGACAAAACCAAATGAACATGAAACATAGAACGGTGCCAGCTAGTACTCCGGAGACGACGACCGCCGAAGCCTGCCCGAACAAGGAAGAGGAGCAGCCTCGGCCGAAACCGTGACAGTACCCCCCCCTTGACGCGCGGCTCCAGCCGTGCGCCGACCCGGAGCTCGGGGACGACCCGGACGACGCGGAGCAGGGCGCGCAGGATGACCCCGATGGAAATCGGTCAGTAGGGACTGGTCCAATACGTCCCTCCTTGGCACCCAGCACCGCTCCTCCGGACCGTACCCCTCCCACTCCACGAGATATTGAAGACCCCCCATCCGGCGTCTAGAATCCAGGATGGACCTCACGGTGTACGCCGGAGCCCCCTCGATGTCCAACGGGGGGCGGAGGAGTCTCCTCAATCTCAAAGTCCTGGAGTGGACCAGCTACCACCGGCCTGAGGAGAGACACATGGAACGAGGGGTTAATATTTTTGTAATCAACAGGTAGTTCTAACCTATAACTCACCTCGTTCAATCTCCTCAGGACTTTAAATGGCCCCACAAACCGCCGACCCAGCTTCCGGCAGGGCAGGCGGAGGGGCAGGTTTCTGGTTGAGAGCCAGACTCGATCTCCAGGTGCGTATACTGGCCCCTCACTGCGGTGTAGGTCGGCGCTCGTCTTCTGTCGACGTATGGCACGCTGCAGATGGACGTGTGCAGCGTCCCACGTCTCCTCCGAGCGCCGCACCCACTCATCCACAGCGGGGGCCTCGATCTGGCTCTCATGCCATGGTGCCAGAACCGGCTGGTACCCTAATACACACTGAAAAGGGGTTAGTTGGGTGGAGGAGTGGCGAAGAGAGTTCTGTGCCATCTCGGCCCAGGGCACATATCTCGCCCACTCCTCCGGCCGGCCCTGACAGTATGACCTCAGAAACCTACCCACATCCTGGTTGACCCGTTCAACCTGCCCATTACTCTCCGGGTGGTAACCCGAGGTAAGGCTTACCGAAACCCCCAGCCGTTCCATAAATGCTCTCCACACTCTAGAGGTGAACTGGGGGCCATCGGTCAGACACTATATCCTCGGGTTACCCCGTAATGCCGGAAGACATGGGGTGAACAGAGCCTCTGCGGTCTGTAGGGCCGTGGGTAGACCCGGCATGGGAAGAGACGACAGGCCTTAGAGAACCGATCCACAACGACCAGGATGGTAGTATTCCCCTGTGAGGGGGAAAGGTCGGTAACAAAATCCACCGAGAGGTGGGACCAGGGCCGTTGTGGAATAGGCAGGGGTTGTAACTTACCCCTGGGCAAATGTCTGGGCGCCTTACACTGGGCACACACCGAACAGGAGGAGACATAAATCCTCACATCCCTAGTACGTGGCCACAACTTGTGCTTGGCAGGCACTGTCACGCCGAACTTCGGATGGCTAGAGGCAGTGAACGTATGAGCCCAACACTGCGGCGATCGCGTACCGAGCGGACTAGTCCGCCACAGAGGAGAGGATCTCTATGACCCCAAAAAATTTAGGGGGGGATCCGGGCCCTCCTCCTCAGCCCAACGTACGCCTTTCCCCGGGGGCCCGTGGAAGAATGGGTTTCCCCCGGGCTTAAAAAAGGCCCAGCTCGGGGTTCCCATCCCCCTTTCCCCAAACCCAGGCAAAAAAGGGGGGTGTTTGGCCCCCCCCACCAATCCCCCCCTTTTACCGGCCAGGCAAGCTCCCCGCCCCCTTTTTCCCCCTTCTTTTTGGGACCCAATGTAGGATTTTTTCCAAACCGGGGCGGCCCCCTCCCGGCCTGGCGCGGGTTTACCCCCTACTTGGCCGGGGGTTTTAAAAAATCCCAGGGCCATGGTTTTATTAAATGGGAAGGGGGTTTTACCCCCCCCGGCCAGGCCCCACCCCTTTAAAAGGGTTGGGGGCCCCCCCTTCCAAAACCCCTTCCTCCCGGGAAAAATTCCCCTCCCCGGAAATTTACTTCCCTTACTTTGGGGGAAACACCCCACCGGGACCGGATTTTTAGGTGGACCCCAAAAAACCCCTTGGGGAAAAAACGGCCCCTTCCCCGGGCCCCTTTACGGCGTCCCCCTCCCCAATTGGCGGAAAGGGTTCCAAAGCCAACACCCGGGGAGGTAACCCCGGTTTCGTCTTCCCACCCCTTCCCCCTCCCTGCCCCACCGGGAAACCACCCACCCCTTTAAACAGGAGACTTATGGGAAACTGCCCTTTTCCAAAACCCCTTAAACCCTCCTTAATTAATTTTCGCAAAACCCCAGAACCGTTGAAACCCCCCACGTGGTTGGGTCCTCCCAAATCGCACAATTGGACCCCCTGTTTCCCTTCCTTTAAACCCCGGAACCCTACAACTGGTAAACCCAAAAAAAGAAACTTCGGGGGAAAAAGGCCCATTTCTCCCGCTTGAAAATAAGTTTTTGCTCCAACCCCTCTCCCCCCACCAAAGGGGACCCTGGCTTCCCGGGAGGCTTCCCCGTTGGGATTTAACCACAAACCCCCCGCCATGGGCCCCGGAAAACTCCGGCCCAGACGAAGGATTTAAACCCCAGGGGGGAATTTTCCAAACCCAAAAGATTACTCTCCACCCGAAGGGGCGGCCCCTTGTCCCAACAAACCCCCCCCTCCTTGAAGGCCCCCACCAAAGTTTTTCCTCCCAAAACCCAATTTAAAAACCCCCGGGGCCCGTAGTCCAATTCCCAACCAAAGGGGAAACCCACACTTTAACCTAACCACGGGGAAATTTTTTAAAAAAAAGGCAAAAAGGAGTTCCCTTTCCGGGTAGAGGGGAATTTTTCTCCCTTCAAATTTCCCTCCCCTTTTCCCCCCAGCAAACCCCCCGAAAGGGGGGCGCCTGTTTTCCCTCCCTAATTTAACCCCCCACCCCCTTAAAACCCCCCCGGACGGGGCCCCCAAAATTTCCCCCCAAGGGGCCCAAAAAATTGGGGGCCCGGGGGAAAGGCCCCCCCCCCCTTATCCCTTTTTGGAAAAGGAAATGGTGGAAATCCCTAACTCTATACAGAACTGGCGATCTACAAAATTCCCAGCTGCGCCTGAATCTACCAGCGCCTTATGCTGGGAACGAGGTGCAACCTGTGGGAAACAAACAGGCAAGGTTAGGTGCACGACAGAAAGCTCTGGGTAAGCAGGGCGCCTACTCACCTGGGTGGACCCCCCAATGCGTGACCTGCCTTCTCCCTCACTGGAGGACCCGCCCCAACACCTAGCCGCGGTGTGCCCTCCACGACCACAGTTGGTGCAAGGGCCGGGTCCCCTCGGGCTCCTCCTCCTCCGTTCCCTAGCGCCAGCACCTCCGAGCTCCATAGGGCTCGGCTCGGAGGTGCTGGAGAGTGGAATGGGCAACCCCCTCCCGGAACGTCCACGGGTGGCGAGCAGGGTATCCAGCCGGATGGCCATGTCGACAAGCTGGTCGAAAGACAACGAAGTGTCCCTGCACGCCAACTCTCGCTGGACGTCCTCCCGGAGGCTGCAGCGGAAATGGTCGATATGGGCCCGCTCATTCCACCCTGCATCAGCCGCTAGGGTCCGAAACTCCAAGGCAAAGTCCTGGGCGCTCCTCATCCCCTGTCGGAGGTAGAACAGACGCTCCCCCGCCGCCTTCCCCTCTGGTGGATGGTCGAACACAGCACGGAAGCGGCGGGAGAAACTCCGCATAGTTCGTGGTAGCGGCGTCCATTCTCCTCCACTCGGCGTTGGCCCACTCCAACGCCTTGCCGGTGAGACAGGAGATGAGGGCTGAGACGCTCTCGTGTCCCGAGGGCGCCGGGTGTACGGTAGCGAGGTAGAGCTCCACCTGCAGCAGGAACCCTTGACACCCGGCAGTGGAGCCGTCGTACGCCCTCGGGAGCGAGAGCCGAATCCCACTAGGTTCCGGAGATGAGACAGGAGGGCTGACTGATGGGGCTGGTTCGGTTCCTGGAGGTGTGGGAACCCCGCTGGTCTCCCATCGGTGCAGAGTACTCATCACCCTCTCCAGGGCATGACAGACCTGGTTGATGCGGTCCTCCTGGCCACGAAGACGTTCAGCCATCTCGGCTGTCGGCTCGGTCGCTCCTGCTGAATCCATGGATATGATGCGTGATTCTGTCAGAGTGGTGTGTGTAGATGAGTGGAAAGGAATCAAGCGCAGGAACCAGGATGACTTCAACCGTCTTTTATATATACGTTCAACACGTGAACCCAAAAATAGTCGCCAACCCAACCGGGTGGCGCAAAACAATTACGCACAAAACACGGTGCGAAATACACAAGAAAAGCGCACGCAGTGCGAACTCTCGGGACAAGCCAACAACGAGAGAAAGGTATCCTTACAGAGGCAGTCTGACAAAAACAATCACGCATAACACCTGACCCACACACACGAAACTAAATAGGGAAACAATTAAGACACAAATAAGGGACAGGTGTTATGAACAGACAAAACCAAATGAACATGAAACATAGAACGGTGGCAGCTAGTACTCCGGAGACGACGACCGCCGAAGCCTGCCCGAACAAGGAAGAGGAGCAGCCTCGGCCGAAACCGTGACATTGGCTAAGGTGTATGTAAACCTCCGACTTCAACTGTATCTAATTATAGACAAGTTGACTAACAAACAACCTACCAAAATGTTGGAAATTATAAGCAGAAACACATCTAAATCAGGCAAAAAAAATACTGCACCCAACAACAGCACTGTTTCGATATTAGCGGGTTAGGGTCAGAGTTTCCAGCTCCGTGTAGTCTAACTTCATTATGCTGTAATGTATAAATAATGGAAGGGCCTTCTTGTTTGCTCTTTAATAATTTGGTGTGATACTCTTAGACAGATTGACTGGGAGGTGTGTACACGGTGGGGAGGTCGAGGTCAAATGGCTCAGCTTGTTTCCTCTAACTCTCTAATTACATATAACATCATATACTGTAGATACAGTAGGCCTGCTGAACTGGACTGGACTGGACTTTACTGGACTGGACTGGACTGGAATATACTGGACTATCCTGGACTGGACTTTAATGGATTGGACTACACTGGACTGAACTATACTGACTGGACTGGACTATACTAGACTGATTACACTGGACTATGCTGGACTGATTATACTGGACTATACTGGACTGATTATACTGGACTATACTGGACTGATTATACTGGACTATACTGGACTGATTATACTGGACTATACTGGACTGGACTACACCGGACTGTACTGGACTATATTGAACTGGACTATACTGGACTGATTATACTGGACTATACTGGACTGGACTACACCGGACTGTACTGGACTATATTGAACTGGACTATACTGGACTATACTGGACTGGATTACACTGGACTATACTGGACTTGACTTTACTGGACTGGACTATACTGGACTAAACTGTACTTGAAAAACTGTATGGCTGAGAGAGATGAGGCAATGGGAATAGCAAATAGGTCTGACAACACAGCAGACTGGCAAACATACAGTAAATTGAGAAATCATGTAACTAAACTAAACAAAAAGAAGAACAGATCAAATCAAATCAAATCAACTTGTATTTGTCACATGCACCGAATACAACAGGTGTAGACCTTACAGTGAAATGCTTACTTACAAGCCCTTAACCAACAATGTAATTTTAAGAAAGAATACCCCCCAAAAATACCCCCAAAACAATAAATAAAAAAATTATAAGAAATAAAAGTAACAAATAATTAAAGAGCAGCAGTAAAATAACAGTAGCGAGGCTATATACAGGGGGTACCGATACCGAGTCAATGTGCGGGGGCACCGGTTAGTCGAGGTAATTGAGGTAATATGTACATGTAGGTAGAGTTATTAATCTTATGGCTTGGGGGTAGAAGCTGTTTAGAAGCCTCTTGGACCTAGACTTGGCGCTCCGGTACCGCTTGCCATGCGGTAGCAGAGAGAACAGTCTATGACTAGGGTGGCTGGAGTCTTTGACAATTTTTAGGGCCTTCCTCTGACACCGCCTGGTATAGAGGTCCTGGATGGCAGGAAGCTTGGCCCCAGTGATGTACTGGGCCGTACGCACTACCCTCTGTAGAGCCTTGCGGTCGGAGGCCGAGCAGTTGCCATACCTGGCGGTGATGCAACCAGTCAGGATGCTCTCGATGGTGCAGCTGTAGAACCTTTTGAGGATCTGAGGACCCATGCCAAATCTTTTCAGGCTCCTTAAGGGGAATAGGTTTTGTCGTGCCCTCTTCACAACTGTCTTGGTGTGTTTGGACCACGTTAGCTTGTTGGTGATGTGGACACCAAGGAACTTGAAGCTCTCAACATGCTCCACTACAGCCCCGTTGATGAGAATGGGGGAGTTCTCGCTCCCCTTCTTTTTCCTGTAGTCCACAATCATCTCCTTTGTCTTGATCACGTTGAGGGAGAGGTTGTTGCCTGGCACCACACGGTCAGGTCTCTGACCTCCTCCCTATAGGCTGTCTTGTCGTTGTCGGTGATCAAGCCTACAACTGTTGTGTCATCGGCAAACTTAATGATGGTGTTGGAGTCGTGCCTGGCCATGCGGTCATGAGTGAACAGGTAGTACAGGAGGGGACTGAGCACGCGCCCCTGAGGGGCCCCCGTGTTGAGGATCAGCGTGGAGGATGTGTTGTTACCTACCCTTACCACCTGGGGTCAGCCCGTCAAGTCCAGGATCCAGTTGCAGAGGGAGGTGTTTAGTCCCAGGGTCCTTAGCTTAGTGATGCGCTTTGAAGGCACTATGGTGTTGAACGCTGAGCTGTAGTCAATGAAAAGCATTCTCACATAGGTGTTCCTTTTGTCCATGTGTGCAAGGGCAGTGAGGAGCGCAGTAGAGATAATAGTGTTGATGTGAGCCATGACCAGCCTTTCAAATGACTTCATGGCTACAGCCATGAGTGCTGCGGGTTGGTAGTCATTTAGGCAGATTACCTTAGTGTTCTTGGGCACAGGGACTATGGTGGTCTGCTTCAAACTATACTATTGAACAAAGATACATTATATAAAGGATGATAGTAAAAAGCTGGACTATACTGGACTGGATTAAACTGGACTATAATGGACTGGACTGGACTATACTGGACTATACTGGACTAGACTATACTGGACTGGACTATACTGGACTAGACTATACTGGACTATACTGGACTATACTGGACTGGACTATACTGGACTATACTGGACTGGACTATACTGGACTATACTGGACTATACTGGACTGGACTATACTGGACTATACTGGACTATACTGGAGTGGACTATGCTGGACTATACTGGACTGGACTATACTGGACTATGCTGGACTATACTGGACTTGACTACACTGGACTAGACTATACTGGACTAGACTATACTGGACTATACTGGACTGGACTATACTGGACTATACTGGACTGGACTATACTGGACTATACTGGACTGGACTATACTGGACTATACTGGACTATACTGGACTGGACAATACTGGACTGGACTATACTGGACTAGACTATACTGGACTATACTGGACTATACTGGACTATACTGGACTATACTGGACTGGACAATACTGGACTGGACTATACTGGACTGGACAATACTGGACTGGACTATACTGGACTGGACTATACTGGACTAGACTATACTCGACTATAATGGACTATACTGGACTGGATTATACTGGACTGGACTGGACTATACTGGACTATACTGGACTAGACTATACTGGACTATACTGGACTGGACAATACTGGACTGGACTGGACTATACTGGACAATACTGGACTGGACTATACTCGACTTTACTGGACTATACTGGACTGGATTATACTGGACTGGACTGGACTGGACTATACTGGACTATACTGGACTATACTGGACTGGACTGGACTATACTGGACTGGACTATACTGGACTATACTGGACTGGACTATACTGGACTAGACTATACTCGACTATACTGGACTATACTGGACTGGACTATACTGGACTAGACTCGACTATACTGGACTGGACTATACTGGACTAGACTATACTCAACTGGATTATACTGGATTATACTGGACTGGACTAGACTATACTCGACTATACTGGACTATACTGGACTGGACTGGACTATACTGGACTAGACTATACTGGACTATACTGGACTGGACTATACTCGACTATACTGGACTGGATTATACTGGACTATACTGGATTGGACTATACTGGACTAGACTATACTCGACTATACTGGACTATACTGGACTATACTGGACTGGACTATACTGGACTAGACTCGACTATACTGGACTGGACTATACTGGACTGGATTATACTGGATTATACTGGACTGGACTAGACTATACTAGACTATACTCTACGCTACTGCTGCTGTATTTGGATCAGGCTGTTATGAGAGCTACATCACATAATAATATGCCATTTAGCAGACACTTTTATCCAAAGCGATTTACAGTCATGCGTGCATACATTTTCTTTTTTTGTGTATGGGTGGTCCCGAGGATCGAACCCACTACCTTAGCGTTACAAGCGCCGTGCTCTACCAGCTGAGCTACAGAGGACCACATAGTGGACCATGTACCATTGCTTCATGTAGAATGGGATTTATAATAAATAATATGCCATTTAGCAGACGCTTTTATCCAAAGCGACTTACAGTCATGCATGCATAATTTTTTGTGTATGGGTGGTCCCGGGGTTCGAACCCACTACCCTGGCGTTACAAGCGCCATGCTCTACCAGTTGAGCTACAGAGAACCACATTTACACACAGAAAAACAGAAAAGGGCATTTATGCATGCAGTATACATATATGTGTGCGCACACACACATACACACACACACACACACACACACACACACACACACGCACACACACACGCACATACACACACACACACACGCACATACACACACACACACACACACACACACACGCACATGCATACATTTTAACTGATTTGAATTTGACCTTTGAATTCATGGCCTTTACCAAATTGGCAAATATTTATCTCTGGTATAACGTAAGCTAAACCATTACCAGTCTACCACGGACTGACGGACGTTATGGCGTCAACTCTGGCCATTACAGCAGTGACACTAAATCCACACACACGCACACACACAGTTGATCAGCTGAGTTGTGTTCAGTCTACAATGACATCAGGGCTGCTCAATAGTGGTGCGCAGATCAGTTGTTTGTTCACCTGCACCCGCCCGCAATTGCTAATAACCACAGGAGTTTGGTGGCACCTTAATTGGGGAGGAAGGGCTCGTGGTAATGGCTGGAGCGGAATTGGTGGAATGGTATCAAATACATCAAACACATGGTTTCCATGTATTTGATACCATTCCATTTGCTCCGTTCCAGCCATTATTAAGAGCTGTCCTCCCCTCAGCAGCCTCCACTGCTAATAACCCATCCGTAACCGCCTGACTATATGTGATAAAGTGAAAATCTGAGGCCTGCACCCAACCCTAACCCGCCAATATAGAAACTGTGCTGTAGTGCTGATTTATAAATGTTTTCTGCTTATAATTTCGGACATTTTGGTTGGCTATTTTTTTGTCAACTGGTCTATAATTATATGCCTGCAGTTTCTCTTCTGTCAATATGTATGTTGCCCCAGAAGACTAAATAAACCCTTGCTCACCAGAATAATGTCGTAAAGCGATAGAATGAAGGCTTCAATCTAGTTGACATCAGTAAAGTTTTCTCTGTCATCTCTGCTTCTTTAGGGACCGGGGAGAAAATGTGGTTGAAATACTATCAGCTTTTATGATGCTGATAAAGATAGCATCTTTACAGACGGTCCCTAACTGTGCTTTTGCATTCTCTCAAGAAATAAATCATATTTCTCCACTCCTGTTCCCGAGTCAATTTTTTTTTGGTGTATCCTTTTACTGCAAGAAATGCTTAATTCTACAGGAGTTAAAGCTATGTGAGAGATTATAGACCTACAGTCAGTGTCCAAACATTTTCTCTGCCTCGGATAGATCCACCAAATTGACTTGAAACGTTGACATTTAGCACATTTTTTATTTATTTTTCATCCTATAGCAGGACATGGGTGGGAGGGTCCATGTCCCCCTATTGGTCAGCTGTTCCTTTGTGTTAAATTCATTCCCGGGGTTGAACCAGGGATTCAAATTCCAAGATTAAATCAAGTGCCCAGTATTTGTATATATATCTAACAAAGATGGATGAGGTGCTATTCCTGTACAGTACCTATAGAGCATGGTTGACTGTAAAAAATGGGATCTATAAAATCTATGAATGAGGTCGTCCACCCAGCACTGTCAGCTCATGCTATGACTAATTGATCCGTTACTGGTTGAACATGTGCGACAGCCAATCAGATCCCAGGATAGTGGGAACAGGAAGGGGTCATGTGGATGCTGACTGACACCCATCCCAGATCTTTGCCGTTGATCACACACTATAATCAATTTATAGACCGCACACACACACACACACACACACACACACACACACGCACACATACAGTCTTGTATAGCTAACCTTGTGGGGACACACAATTCAGTCCCATTCAAAATCCTATTTTCCCTAACCCTAAACCTAAACCTAACCCTAACCCGTACTTGTACCCTTAACCCCAAACCACTAACCCTAACCCTAAAACTATACCTAACCCTAACTCCTAACCCTAAACCTAACCTTAGCCCCTAACCCTAACTCCAACCTTAATTCTAACCCTTACCTTAATTGTAACCCTAACCCTAAACCTAACCCCTAAGCCTAACATCCTCATGGGGACCGGCAAAATTTATATTTTACATTTTACATTTTAGTCATTTAGCAGACGCTCTTATCCAGAGCGACTTACAGTTAGTGAGTGCATACATTTTCATTCAAAATGTCCCCACTTGTCCAAATGTTCCTTGTTTTACTATCCTCTGGTCCCACAAGGAGAGTAAAATATAAACACACACACACACACACACACACATACATACATACACACACCGCAGGTGAATCCAAATACATCTCAATCTGTGCAGATGTGTATGCACCAGGCCCAACTGTGAAGGTCAGATTATGTTACGGAAGGTATTTGTTTATTGACCCAGTAGCACAGTTTATTCTGTTCCCTCTGTTATTATGCATGAGGTGATGTACGTACACCATCAGTGGGTGCGTTTAATAGCACACAATTGCATGTGATGTGGTGGCATTGTCCTGAGCCTAATGCGCTCTCTCTCCCTGTAATATGGTATTGTATTGAGCAGTAGTGATGAGCGAGTTGACTCAGAACCCGCAATTCCCACAGTTATATCCGGGGAGGCGGGCGGGTTTAGGGTAATTATATATTGTGTGGATGAAGGGCGGGTGGGTGACAGGCGGGTTCAATAAAGAGAAAACAATACCTTAAAAGTTTCATAAATGTATAATTATTGTGCAATTTATATGTATAATTTATATGTATAGGCTACATTGATTTATTTTCAAAAATGTTTAGGCTATCTGGCATTAGTGCTTAAGCCTAAGCTTCAGGGCTTAACTGTAGGCGTGCCAAATAGCCTCCACGTCAAATGCTTTTGGGAATGGGCAGAAAAAGTTAACATCGATCCACGGAGGCAAAAAGGACAATGTCGGAGTAATGTTTGGGAAAGATTTGGTGAAGTGGTAAAATAGGATAATTGCAATGCCTATGTTATGTGTGATGATTGTGAGGCACAAGATGGGGCTGGCTGCAACCTGGTCTCACAGCATTTCATATTATTCTGTACGTAAATCCGAGACACTTTACTTAGTATGATATGTTAGGTTTCGTATGGTATGTATTAATTTGTAGATGTCCAGCATCCATTTCGTATTATATGTTACAAATTACAATACGTATGATAAGTTACAAATTGCAATTCATACAATATGTTACGAATTGCAGTTCATACAATATTTTATGAATTTGCGAAACGAAAAATATGTTAAGAATTTGCAAACAACGTATGATATGTTACAAATTCAATTTGTTGTTGCTAACGTTAGTTAGGTGGCTAACGCTAATGTTAGCTAGGTTAGGGGTTAGGGTTAGGGGAAGGGTTATCTAAAAGGGTTAAGGATGGGGTTAGAGTTAGGGGCGGGTTAGCTAACATGCTAAGTAGTTGAAAAGTAGCTAATTAGCTAAAATTGTCTGTGATGAGATTCGAACATGCAACTTTTGAGTTGCTAGACGTTCGCGTTATACGCCTACCCATCCACCCCGACCAAACACCCTCCTTTCATATTTGCCTTAAGTAACTTTCTGTCTTATGTAACCATACCAAATGTAACATATCATACTAAGTTGAGTGTCCCAGATTTACATTTACTCTGTTACCTCTGGTCTATGAGACCAGGCGGCGACTTCACATGTCAAGGGACTCTAGAATACTGTTCAGATGGGTTAAATGGAAACTGAAATCTGGACACTGACTGTAGGTCTATAATCTCTCTGTCATTCACTGTGGCCCTGAATTACTGCAGCTGACATTACTGCACCCTCCCCTTCCACTTCAGCGTTTATCACCAAAACCCTGCTGCTCTTCCCTGGCAGACACATACCCCTCATGTCAAATCTTTCCCAAACATTACTCCGACATTGTCCTTTTTGCCTCCGTGGATCGATGTTAACTTTTTCTGCCCATTCCCAAAAGCATTTGACGTGGAGGCTATTTGGCGCGCCTACAGTTAAGCCCTGAAGCTTAGGCTTAAGCACTAATGCCAGATAGCCTAAACATTTTTGAAAATAAATCAATGTAGCCTATACATATAAATTATACATATAAATTGCACAAGAATTATACATTTATGAAACTTTTAAGGTATTGTTTTCTCTTTATTGAACCCGCCTGTCACCCACCCGCCCTTCATCCACACAATATATAATTACCCTAAACCCGCCCGCCTCCCCGGATATAACTGTGGGAATTGCGGGTTCTGAGTCAACTCGCTCATCACTACTGCTCAATACAATACCATATTACAGGGAGAGAGAGCGCATTAGGCTCAGGACAATGCCACCACATCACATGCAATTGTGTGCCATTAAACGCACCCACTGATGGTGTACGTACATCACCTCAATGCATAATAACAGAGGGAACAGAATAAACTGTGCTACTGGGTCAATAAACAAATACCTTCCGTAACATAATCTGACCTTCACAGTTGGGCCTGGTGCATACACATCTGCACAGATTGAGATGTATTTGGATTCACCTGCGGTGTGTGTATGTGTATGTGTGTGTGTGTGTGTGTATGTGTGTGTGTGTGTTTATAATTTACTATCCTTGTGGGACCAGAGGATAGTAAAACAAGGAACATTTGGACAAGTGGGGACATTTTGCCGGTCCCCATGAGGATGTTAGGCTTAGGGGTTAGGTTTAGGGTTAGGGTTACAATTAAGGTTAGGTTTAGAATTAAGGTTGGAGTTAGGGTTAGGGGCTAAGGTTAGGTTTAGGGTTAGGATTTAGGGTTAGGTATAGTTTTAGGGTTAGGGTTAGTGGTTTGGGGTTAAGGGTAAGAGTACGGGTTAGGGTTAGGGTTAGGGTTAGGTTTAGGTTTAGGGAAAATAGGATTTTGAATGGGACTGAATTGTGTGTCCCCACAAGGTGAGCTGTACAAGACTGTATGTGTGTGTGTGTGTGTGTGTGTGTGTGTGTGTGTGTGTGTGTGTCTGTGTGTGTGTGCGTGCGGTCTATAAATTGATTATAGTGTGTGATCAGCGGTAAAGATCTGGGATGGGTGTCAGTCAGCATCCACACGACCCCGTCCTGTTCCCACTGTCCTGGGATCTGATTGGCTGTCTCACATGTTCAACCAGTAACGGATCAATTAGTCATAGCATGAGCTGACAGTGCTGGGTGGACGACCTCATTCATAGATTTTATAGATCCCATTTTTTACAGTCAACCATGCTCTATAGGTACTGTACAGGAATAGCACCTCATCCATCTTTGTCAGATATATATACAAATACT